ACTAGGTCATCTTCCAACAAACCAGGCAGTTCCTGCCCCTGGGCCTTTAGTCCAGGGCTCTCTGGGCCGAATATACTAAACTCCCTCCCTCCCTTCCTCCCTTCAGGTCTCTGCTCCAACGTCACCTCTGGACAGCGGCTCCCCAACCGACCCACGCACCAGAGCAGCCCCCGAGGATACTACCGGCCCTAAAATATATCCTGCATTGCGCGCCTGGTACGGTCTGCACTCGCCTCTAAGCTGCTTGAGCGATTCCTGTCGATGTGCCAGCGCCTGTTCAGTGTCTGACACCAGGGATTTGACAGATTGCGAATGAATTAAAGCCGAGGTCAGCAGCTCCTCCCAAGGCTCACGCTCGGCCGGGTCCCTCCCCGGCCCGGGGGTGGGGGCTCGGGGCTGCGGCATTTTGCGGGGAGACTGTGAGGCGACGGCAGCCGAGCCCGATGACTGGTCTGAGGGGCCGAGGCCTGAGGAACGACGACCAGGGCCGTCGGGGTCCGAGGAGGCCGGACCAGGGAGGCGGCGGTGGGAAACAGCCTTCAGGCGCCCAGACCAGGGCCCACAAGCACCGGCGGCGGAAATCAAGGCCTCGAGTGACAGAGACTGAGACATGAGCTTGTGAGCACAGAGAAATGGGGCGCCGAGGCGTGAGGAGCGCGGAGCTGACGCGACGGGTCCCCGGCGCCATTTTGGGATCGCACAGAGGGCAGTGTCCAAGCCCCGGGGACGACGCGGGCGGGCCCGGGACGGCCCTGGCGCATGCCCGTCCCTCCCCACCCGGGGATCGACACCCACCCTGCCTGGCCTACCTGTGTAGCTCATGGCAGCAGCGAACACGGCACCCCAGAGTTCCGGCAGCTGCCCTGCGCGTCCGACGCAGCAAACACCGAAACAATCCCCAGGGCCCCTTCCACACAAAACCGAGACCCGCCTCCCGGCCGCATTGGCTCGCACCAGACACTGGCTTCAAGTCTATTGGACAGCTGAGCTGTCCATTCCCAAACTTCCTCACTACAGCAGTACTCTGCCAATCCAATGAGAGCCCCGCTCCGCTCCCGCCTACCGTTATCCCAAGCCCGCAGTCACTGGTTGAGGAGCCACCCTGGAGGCGGAGTCCTGTGGAAATAGAAGGGGCGGAGCTGTTCCCTACGGAAAGACCTGAGGCCCAAGCGCCGCCGGGTGGGAGGCCCGCGGGAGCCGGGACTACCTCTTAGAGCGCGGCTCGGATCCCGGCTCTGCCACCGAGGTGCTGTGCAAACCTACACTACGTTTCTTAACTTCTGTGGCTTTCAGCTCCAAAATAAGCATGGTAAAGCCATACTGGAATGAAAATTACAACTAAGCGCCAAACAAGATGCTGGGGACAACGTTAAAAAATGAGATAACGTATGTAAACAATCGGTCCAGCGCCGGGTGCACTGAATATTATAGGTTTTGTTACATAATGAGAACAAATATATTTATACAGCATGCCTATATGGTATATGTAATAAAGTTGTATGTATATATAACGTATACAACATGTAATGTATTTTATGGCATATCATCTTAAACACCCCCAAAAATCTCATTTAAAAGATAAGAATGCTGAGGTTTGGAATTCGTAACTTGAACGTCCTTCACACTTAAATGTTAAAGCTGGGACTCCCCTCTAAAACCCTCTCAGTTGATTGCAGACTTTAGAGATCCTGCAGTTAGTGAAGCTGGGTTCCAGTTCTGTCACTGACATCCACACTGGATGTGGAATCCACTTTCGGCAGTCTCTCAAATTCTAAGATTAGACTTGATGGAGCGGTAGACACTGAAAATGGTAAAGTCTCTGTGAAAACTCAAGCTGTACAATTTTGATTCGGACACTTCTGTTTTACCTAGAAAGCTTGAAGTATAAGCAATGTTGCTGACTTTTTGCAAAATACTGAGAAATTGTCAATTTCTTTAGCTGTAATAATGGCATTTTTAGGAGTCCCTATCCTTCAGAGAAACATATGGAAATATTGAGACTAATTTGAGAAAGATGTTTCACCGTTATTCAAATAACGGAGAGGGGAGAAAGGCATGGATGCATTATAGCTGAAGATCGGTCATGAGCTGATTAAATAGATGAGGGTTCATTTTGCTACTCAACTTTTGTATGGTCGGAATTTTCCATGGTAAAATGTTTTAATAGCTCCTCACCTAAAAATGGGTTTCATACAGAACTTGCTACCATGAGACAAAGTTTATGATGTGCAGAGAAACTCCATCTATTAAGTACAGAAAGCTCTGGTTAATGTGACTCCAGCTTTGGAGCTCATTTGTCACCCTCAGGGATGCCTGCCTTCCTGCCTGTCCTCTGAATTAAAGCAGGGCCCCTGACACCTGTCCTGGATCCTATAGCTTTCTTCATGGCATGTACCACAGCCATCATTTTACCTTCACTTAATTTTGTTAACATCCAACACTCTGCCTCCAACAAAGAATGGCTTGAGAAGGGTTTTAGCAAAACCGTCCCTGCTAAGAACAGTATGCAACCCTTTCAAGGATTCACACACTAACTGCAAGATGGTGGATGGGGAGGAGCTTCCCATGTTACCTTATGAGGTCTTGAATCATTTGAACTTTTTTTAATATCCAGCTTCCATCACTTCTATATTTTTAAAACACATTTATAAAAAGCTGAAAAAGGAAGTGCCTTTGGGTCAAATCTCATCTCATGAGATTCCCTCTGTGCTTTCAAGGCCTCAGACATGGCCACCCATAATGTGGGATGGACAGAAAGTGGTCGAGGCTTTCCTCCACTAGACAAGGTATGTGTCCTGACCTCATACCAACAGAAAAGCCAAGCGTGTGGGCCAAGACCACTCTTTTGGGCATGTTATCACAGTTTATCACCCACTCCCTTCCAAGCAAGGGCATGGTGAGGGGCCTAAGATAATGAGGTGGGGGCTAGAGGCCTCTGCTGTTTCCACCCTATGAGGTCATTCCCACCATCTAGGACTTGGCTGTTTAAGTGAAAACAATGAGCTGAAAAACCACATGCAATAAACAAGAAGGTGCAGCCAACAAAATCTCTTAAAATCTCAGAAATGTTCAATAAACATTTGCAGAGCAAGAAAATAAATAACATTGCAAAGGAGGCAGCAGCTCCCTTTCTAACCATCGTGTTACTCAGGTGCAGGGTACATGTGTCTGCAGACAAGTCACACGTCTTGAAGGCAAGCGGGTCCCAGCAGCTTTATGTTTCCCTTCCCCCAGTGGGTCCCCCACACCTTCGCTGGACGGCTCCTCCCCGGTGGGAGCCCTTCAGCTTCAGTTGCTTCTCCATCCTGGCACCCTTTCTAGACCAGCTGCCCAGGGCTTGGGTTCTCTTCCTCTGCTTACAGCGGCTTTTTCACCAGGTGGCCAGAGCCCCCAACCAACTGTGCCATGGAGGGTCAACAGCTGGGAACTTGGGCTCAATCCCAGCTGGGCCTGGTTGGCTTGGTGGGCAATGGGGAAACCCAGGGCCCCCGGGGGAGGGGGAGGGGCAGGGGGCTCTGGGCAGAGGCAACTCAATCCCAGCCCTGGCTGCAAGACGATGCCAGCCTGTCCACTCGACAGAAAAACACACGCTGGCTGCCTGCCCCTGGGTGTTTCCAGAAGAGAAATTTAATCTAATTTACATACTTCTAGATACATCGATAACCAAAATGTGGCCACTGAAAAAAGTTAAAAGGTCATTCGGCTCCCGGCTACTAGCTGGCCCAGGATTGCAAAATAAAAAGATCCACGTTCCTTATTCTCTACACAAAACGCGTTTTTAAAAAAGTGAAGGTCTAGGGAGCTATACATAGAAAGCAACAGTGAAAAGAGGGAGGGGTCGGGGGTGGGGAGGAGAATCCCACCCCCACCCCCTCCTGGGCCCTGGAGCCCACGAGGCTTTGCGGGGCCTTGACATGGCAGGAGGCAGCTGTCAGCTCTGAGCTCTCCCCAGCTGGGAAAGCCCCTCTGGAGGGGTGGCCAACAAGGATTTCCGTGGCATTGTGGGCTCAGTGGGGGGCTCCCAGGCCCCAGTGGGCCACAGAGGGAGCATGCCTTCCCCTGAGCAAGCACCGTGGCATGACGTGGTTGTTCGACTCGGGAACTGGGGGGCTGGGGCAGATCCCGGTCTCACGAGGTGCGTTCGTGCGTGCGTGCATGTGTGTATGCGCTTGTTCACGTGTGCGTGTGTGTGAGAGGATATTCACGGGGGCAAGAAGGAACCAGGACAAGGGGTCTTTGGGGTCTTTGCAAATGGCCACGAATGGCAAACATAGCCCCGCCTGGCTGCTAAATGCGTGGGGCGATGGCCTCCCTCCCCTGCAACCAGGTCGGCTGCCAGCTGAAGAGACCTGGCCACTGCCCTTACTGGACCCAGGGGCGTGGGCTGAAGGAAGACGCCCTGTGTGTTGCCCCAGAGTTTCGGGCTGTGGGAAGGGCAGCTAGCTGGCTCCTGGCGCCCCAGCTGTAGTGTGCCCGGCCCTGAACAGGTGCCGGTTTGAGGTTTTGGCTTGCTCCTTTGGAAATGGAAAAGAAAGAGGAGAGGGAAGAGGAGGCCAAGGAGAAAGAGGAGACAGAGGCAGCATGAGAGAGGATCTGGAATGCTTTTGTGTTAGGGTGCCTCTGTTGCCGCTGTCTGTGCCTGTGGGGCCTGGGGCTCCTCAGGAGGAGGGTCCGCTTTAGAGAAATTCATCTCCAGGATGTGCCGTTGTAAGTGCCGCACCCACTCCTCCTGGATGGAGAGGGGCCCTTGGAATTCCACGTCACAGAACCTGTGTGGGGAATGGAGAGAGGGAGTAACGCTGCCGTGGAGAGGCAGAGGTGCAACCCTGCCCGTGTCCTGAGCATCACTGCTCCTCAGTGTGGACAGTGCAAGCCCAGGATTTGTGGGAAGGGGGACCCAGAAGCCACATGTTCCCCCATGAATGGCTACCTCTACCCATCACAGGATTATGGCAAAGTCCCCTGGAAGCCCCTGTCTCTATGCTGCGTGGGGCGATGGCCTCCCTCCCCTGCAACCAGGTCGGCTGCCAGCTGAAGAGACCTGGCCACTGCCCTTACTGGACCCAGGGGCGTGGGCTGAAGGAAGACGCCCTGTGTGTTGCCCCAGAGTTTCGGGCTGTGGGAAGGGCAGCTAGCTGGCTCCTGGCGCCCCAGCTGTAGTGTGCCCGGCCCTGAACAGGTGCCGGTTTGAGGTTTTGGCTTGCTCCTTTGGAAATGGAAAAGAAAGAGGAGAGGGAAGAGGAGGCCAAGGAGAAAGAGGAGACAGAGGCAGCATGAGAGAGGATCTGGAATGCTTTTGTGTTAGGGTGCCTCTGTTGCCGCTGTCTGTGCCTGTGGGGCCTGGGGCTCCTCAGGCGGAGGGTCCGCTTTAGAGAAATTCATCTCCAGGATGTGCCGTTGTAAGTGCCGCACCCACTCCTCCTGGATGGAGAGGGGCCCTTGGAATTCCACGTCACAGAACCTGTGTGGGGAATGGAGAGAGGGAGTAACGCTGCCGTGGAGAGGCAGAGGTGCAACCCTGCCCGTGTCCTGAGCATCACTGCTCCTCAGTGTGGACAGTGCAAGCCCAGGATTTGTGGGAAGGGGGACCCAGAAGCCACATGTTCCCCCATGAATGGCTACCTCTACCCATCACAGGATTATGGCAAAGTCCCCTGGAAGCCCCTGTCTCTATGCTCAGGCCAGGCTGCTGGCTTGGTTGGTGGGTAAGGACCATCAGGCTTCCTAAGCGCCTCTGCCATCTGACTAAAGCATGTAATCTGAGATGGGAGACAGGGTACAAAGAAGCAGATGCCATCCTGCTGGGCTCCAGGACAAAGATAAGGGAGCAGGGGAAAGGGGGGTGGGCACTAACTCACACTCACCCTGCTAATCCACCCAGCTCCCTGCCCTCAGGTCCCAAGGAAGGCCTCAGGCACAGGGGCCCAGAACCCAAGTTTGTGGCTCCAGAGACTTGGGTTCAAATGCTACTTCTGATTCGCCTCTGTGGCCTGAAGTGGGCCACCATCATTCTCAGATACCCAGTTTCCTGGCCTCAGATGTCCACCTGGTCTTTTAGAATGAATGAAAATCTGATTTTCCTTAACCAGGCAGACAATTTTAAGGTGCTTACCATGTACCAGGTGCAGTTTGAATGCTTTATAAATACTCATCCCTTTTAGTCCTCTTAATGGATCTATTAGGCATGTCTGTTATCAGCCCCATTTTATGGGTGGGAATATTGAGGCACAGAGCCGGAAGTCCTTGCTCAAGGTTACTAAGCTCGGAAGTGTCAGAGTTGGCATTTGAACCCAGGTCTCGCTGGCTACCAAGCTCAGGGGCTCAGCTTAATGCTCTGAGGTGTCACTGTCTGTGATGAGGCCTTAGCTCGAATCCAGCCACACCCAAGGGCAGTGCTTGATGCTATATCTCCTGAATGCCCACCACCAGGCTTTGGGTGGCTGATCCCAGGTGGGTGGTTTTCCTCCCTCCTCTGGTGGTCACATACCTGCATTTGAAGGTGTAGATGTTGCCCACAAACTTGACAAGTGATGTCTGGGGTGGCCGGGGTACCAGGGAGGGGACCGGCCGGACCCTGGGTGGGGGCTGCCGAACCTCCTCCAGCTTCTGCTGCAGGTCATTGGCCTCCTCACCCCCCCGGGTCGCAGAGGCATCTGGAGGGCGGGCTTGTCGGCGTTCAAATTCTGGGATGCAAAAGGTGGGGAGAAGGATGGGAGACTGAGGCAGAGGATGAGGCCCCTGGGGAGGTTCCTGCCTTCAGCGCATGAGGTACGAGGCCTCAGGGAATGGTTAAGATGGACAGACAGCTGGTGACCAGATGATGCCTGGGCCCTGGGACAGGTGGGATGGTGGATGGATGAGTGCACAGGTGAGTGGGTGGGGAAGTGGCTAAGGGTGGACGCACAGCAGAGAACCTGGGGGTGGCCTGGTAGAGCTCAGCAGGTGCCTGCACCCTCACGACCCTCTGTCCCCAGCACTCACTGTTGATGTTCTGCCGCTGGTGCTCCTCAGCCTTCACGGTACCTGGCGGGCTGGCTGCCAGGGGCCGCTCACCACTGTCAGCTGCCCGGCCAGCTTCAGGCCCTGGCTCACCCCCAGGACTGCGGCCCACCATGGCCAGGCCTCCGGGGGCCAGCCCCAGGGGTGGCCGCCTGTCGCCATCGCGGCCGTGGCCGGCACTGCGGAACTTCTTGGTGAATGGGCGGCTGCTCTGGATGTAGCTGCGGTAGGCCCCCACCTTCTGGGGCCGATGCTTGATCCACTCGCTCAGCGTCTCGATGGGCGAGCCGTTCACACACCATTCGGTCACGCCAAACTGCCGAAGGTGTGCCCGTGCATGGCTAGCCAGGGCCTTGCGGTTCTCGAAGTAAAGACCACACAGCTCACAGCAGGCCTCAGTGGCTGCAGGCAGAGGGGGAGCACTAAGCTCTGGCCCAAAGCTGGGAATCAGTCCCGCCTCCCACTGGGGCCCCTGTGGGGTGTGCACTGACTGGGCACTGCCCGGCCCTGCAGGTCCTGGCAGATGCCCTCCCAGGACCCTATCATCTGCTGCTTACAGGAGTGGGAGGTCTTCTCATGGAGGGTCTTTGCCTTGAAGGGCAGTTCGGTCTGGATGTAGGTCTTGGCCTTGATCTCTGCTGGGAGGAGGCGATCCTCCTGCAGGGGCCGCTTGGCTGCCACTGAGCCCAGGTAGCCAGTGGCTGAGGGCTTAGCCCCGGTGATGGGTGTCAGACTAAGATCGCGGGGAACCTGGGCTGAGCTGGCTCCCAGTTTGCCTGGCCGGCCAGCCATGGGTGCCAGTGGCAGGGTGGCCTGCACAGGCCCAGGAGCCGCTGTGGGGGACCCGTCCTCGGCCAAGGCAGGGGCTAGGTCTCCAGCTGGAGGCTCCTTCTTGATGAGGCACGGCTTAGACTTCTTCTTGAGGATCTCCCGCAGTGTGTCGATGGGTGAGCCATTGACAGACCACTCGGTCACGCCCATCTGCCGCAGGTGGGAGCGTGCGTGGCTGGACAGGCCCTTGCGGTTCTCGAAGAACTCGCCACAGAACTCACAGCGGATGTCACGCACTGGCTCCGCCCGGGATGCTGCAGGGGGTCCAGGTGGGGGGAGGGGGGAGAAGGAGGCAGGCAGCTGTGGGCAGGAAGCCTCCAAGCTGAAAGGCCAGTGTTCAGTGTCTGGCTGTCCCATTCACACAGCCCCAGACGACAACTTGCTCCCTCGTCTGCCTCCAGGGGCCCTTGTGTACATCCAGCCCTCCTGCTCGTTCTGCCACCTTGAATTCTAGCTGGCTTCAAGGTGACTCCACGACATGGTGAGGTGTTTGAAGGGCAAGCGCTCCCTTGTTCCTAGGCCCAGATGCCAGCTTGGCTGTGCCCCTTTGTATGACGCTGGGCAAGCTACCTCCCCTCTCTGAGCCTCAATTTCCTCCTTTGCAAAATGGAGATGGAAAACGGTGTTAGGGGGAAGGCCTAAAGCAGTTCCAAGCATGGGGCACAGAGCAGGCATGAAATGCACAGGAGTACAGGTCTGAGCCATCCTCACCTGCTCAGCATGCAGTGGGAGCCTGGCCAACCTGGGCACAGCAAATGCAGTGACAGGGCAGGAGGGAAGTGAGCAACAGGGATGCAGCAGCTATGTACACAGGGCTTTGTTTAACAGAGCACTGTGCTAGGCGCTTTACACTACTGCAGGAAACCATACACGGTTGGAGCCATGGTGATCTCCATCTTTCAAAAGAGGAAACTTGCCCAGGGTCACATATTGCTAGAATGTGGAGCAGCTGAGATCTTTCACTCAACCCTGAATCCGAACGTCAAGCACTTAATGACTAAGAAGATCTAAAAGACGCCTTTCAGCCATCACTTCGTCTCCCTAAGCCTGCCCCTGGCAGACATCTGATTGATCCCTAGAAATCTGGTTGGCAGCCACAACCCATTAGCTGAAGATGGCACAAGAGACAGGACCTTTTTGCCTTGCTTGAATGTCACAATTATTCCTGTCTCCCACATGTGGGGGAGAATCAAGCAGCAGCTCGGCTGTGTGGGAGGTCTGTGCAGCAGGAACGCACAGCTAGTCCATAGTCCTCTGGACATATAAATGTATCCTCCCTTTCATTTTAACTCTGGGTACTCTGGGTATCCCCCAGGGGTTGGGGGTGGGGAGGAGACCCCTTTACCTATTCTCCCTGCCCTCCTTCAGGGTCACACTTACACAGGTTCAGGGGGGTCATGTCTTCCCTTGTTGCCACCCAGGGACCTTCGGATGGGTGCGGCTCCCCATGAAGGGCCCCTGGCAGCATCTCCCGCTTGATCTCCACCCGCATTTGTTCAGGCTTCAGCTTCTTGGGCAAGGAGGGTGTGGCCAGGCCTGGGAACATCTTCCGGGCCGTGGGAGGAGGAGAGGCAGTTGGTGAGTGGCCCAGGGGGCTGCCTGTTGGTGGCGGCAACTTCTTGGCCAGGGATGAGAGGTGAAGGTCTGCAGGGCTGCGGGCTTCCAACGAGCTGCCAGGACCTCCGCTGCCCACCATCTTGGCCAAGGTTTTTGGGCTGGGTCCTGGTGGGTTGGGGGGTCCACCAGGCCGGGACTGGGTCCGTCTCTTGAGGATCTCCCGCAGCGTATCGATGGGTGAGCCATTGACGTACCACTCAGTCACGCCCATCTGCCGCAAGTGGGAGCGTGCGTGGCTGGAGAGGCCCTTTCGATTCTCAAAAAATTCCCCACAGAACTCGCAGCGGATGTCACGGGCTGGCTCTGGGCCCGAGGCTACAGCAGGAGGAGAAAGGGGTAGTTAGCATTCTGGGCACCATTAGCATGATACCCTGCAGGTCTCCTGGTCAGCTGGGCATGGGCAGCAGCATGCCCATGGGCTGGGGTGGTGGTGATGGAGGGCATGTGCCAGCAAGGGAGCTGAGGGGTGGGGCAGGGGCAAGACATGTGGCACAAGTGAGGGGAGGCTCCAGAGAGCATATGGGCCCTCAGTCCTGGCAGAGGAGGATGGATCTGAGACTCCACTGCTCTGCGGGTCCCAAAAAGGATGGGGGCAGGAGGGCAGGAAGTGGCAGCCTAAGTGCCACCCACCATCCAGACCAGGGACAGCCACGGGCACCTTCCATACCAAAGAGCAGCACCCAACCCTTGGCCTTCACTCTCTGGGATGGTCATGGTCATGGAGGCCGAAGGCCAAGAGAGAGGGCCTAGCAGCCAAATGCCAGCGAGATCTCGGGGCAGAACCAGCCACTGCCAAGGGCCCCTGTCTACTCCCTGCCTCAGCAGGAAGGGAGTAGGGAGGGGGCTGCGACCCCCCCGGGAGGGGCTCCAGGGCCCGCAGGGAGGAGGGGGTGGCTGAAGGGAGAACCTACAGAGGTTGAGAGGAGACGGCTCCACATCAGAGGCCCAGAAAATGCCGGCGGCTGCAGCGGCCGAGAGGTCCTGCTTCCCCCAGGGGCTGGCCGTACCCGCGGCCTTCAGCTTGGCCTTCTTGGCCGGCGGTGGGGGGGGGAGCAAGGAGAGGGCCGCAGAGGCGGTAGGAGGCCGCCCCAGCTGGGCCGGGGCGCCGCGCCCGGGTGGGAGGCGGATCTGGACGCCGTCCCTCCTGATGAGCCCGTGGAGCACGTCTATGGGGGATCCCTTGGCGTCCGGGTCGCTGACGCCCAGGTGGCGCAGGTGGGCACGGGCGTGGCTGGATAAGCCCTTGCGGGTCTCAAACCAGGCACCGCACAGCTGGCAGTCCAGCTCTCTGCCCCCGTCACTATCTAAAGCTGCGGAGACAAAACACAGGGGGGTTCACGGCCGCCACCTTGGCCGGCCCTGGGGAACTGAGGCTGGAGGAGCTGGTGTGAGTCAAGGCTGCCCAGGCTGTTCAGGGTCCAAGATTCATGCTAGAGACTGAGTTTAAACGGTTTGGGGAAACGGGAAGTCCTTTTCCCTGCCTAGCTCTTTGGCATCAAGGTGGGTGGGGAGAACTTAAGGATGTCAGGGGGAGAGGTGGTGCCCAAATTCCAGCGGCACAGTCTGATGCTCCCAGGCCCGCTTCCCTGGGACCCCAACTATGAGAGCCATGCTGGTGCAAAGCAGGGTCCTGCCTCCTGCTGAGTGTCATACAGTCAAGGGCCAAACTGCTTGGTGCCCTGCTCCCAAAAGCACAGCAGACAGTGGAAGCAGCTTCACTGGAATATGAGGTACCAACTGGGGGGCCCTGCTGGGCAGGGGGCCAGAAGCTGGTCTCATTCCCAGACCCTAATGCCCACAAAGGTGTAGGAAGGCCTGAATTCCTAAGGAATGCCTTGTTACACCTGCTCACTGTGCCTGGGGTTCTTCCCAAACCCTCTTTGTTTGCTGTGCCCACGGGCAACCAGGGAGGCATGGCTCCACCTGCCTCAGAGAGGCCTCTGTACAGCACGACCAGGAGGATGTGAGGACAGGGCCAACTAAGGGACCTCCTGCCAGGGGGACCACCTGTCTGTCTGCAGAACCCAAGATGCCCAACTGGAGAAGCCAGGCCCACAGGAGCACTGGCCACCATCACTGCTCCAATTCTCAGGCCCAGCGGAGACCAAGAGTGGCCCTAAGTGGTGTGAGGATTACCCTGGCAGGCTCAATAGCCACAGCCAGGTCCCCAGGAAGAACAGTGAAATAAAGTGGGAGGTGGATGGTAATACGCAGTGTGGCCAGCCCAACAGGAGATGCAGTGCTTTGAACACACTGACCAGGCTGACCCAGGGTGTAGGAGCTGCTGTCCCTGATGCCCCCACCCTGGACCCTGCAGCCCTCCCGGCCCCAGGACCGCCCTTGGCTCCCAGGACCCGCACTCACTGAGGTTCAGGGGCCCCTCGTCCTCAGACTGGGGCCACTGTGCCTTTGGGGAGGCCGGCCGGGGGCTCAGGGACAGCTGGGGGCTCTTGTCCTCAGGATTCTTGGGGGTGGGGGAGCCCGCCAGGGCCAGTGGTGCCTTCTTGAGGAGCGGGGAGCTGGGTGGGTGGGCCAGGCCCTTGGCCGAGAAGCCAGGAGGTGACTTGATGGCCTTGTTGATAGCGGGGGCATCCAAGGGCTTGGCCAGGGCGAGCAGGCCAGGCCGGGGGGCCCCAGCAACCACCTCCTTTGGCGAGCTGGACTTCTTAGTCAGGCCCGGGGGCAGCACAAGGGGTGTGTCGGGCAGGCCCTTCTGCTTCACGAGCTCATAGAGGAGATCGATGGGGGCACCGCTGCTCTCCGACTCAGCCACCCCCAGCTGCCGCAGGTGGGAGCGTGCATGGCTGGACAGGCCCTTTCGTGTCTCAAAGCAGGCACCACAGACCTCGCAGGTGGTCAGGCTCTGGGCTGGAGGGCAAGACAGAGGACAGGAGAGCTGGCTGTAAGGCCCCCCTGCTCTCTCAGTTCTCCTCCCCACAGGACCTCATGCACCTAGTTACCCGCAAGCCTCCCAGATCCTTAAGATGACCCTAGTGAGCAGCAATCAGTCTGTCCAGTTTGCAAATAAGGAAACTCTCAGAGAGGCAAAGAGTTCTGCCCAAGGGCACAGAGCAGGTGGCAGAGTCCTTCTGTGGTTTAGCAAGTGGAACTCCTTTCTGATAACCAATGTACCAGGATGTCCTGGCAACAAGTCTTTTTCACACAGTTGCTAACCTGCCTGCTAAACGCTTCACAAAGCTAAGCCCTAGCCACTCTCTGCAGCTCAAGTCCTGCCCCAAATGCTGGGTGGGAGGCCCCAGCCGTAGTCCTGCGGTACCCTGCACTCTCTCCTGCAGAGCCCTTATCCCTGGCTGCTTGCTTCACTGCCTTCCCGCTCCTCAACTTGAGTGACCCCGAGAATGAGAGCTAGGTCTGTTTTGTTCCTCTTGCATCCCTGTGGTCCAGCACAGTGCCTATCACTACTCAATAATGACCTGAGGATCAGTGGACAGACAAGGTGCTATCATGTGGAACATCACTCAGCCAAAGGGGGTCAAAGTCAGCAGATGACCTGGGTCTGAATGTGAGCTCTTGGTGACCATGCTCACTGCTTCCCTTGTCTCCTCTCCCTTGCCCAGTGAGGGGACAGCTCAAGGCCATGCATGCCTAGGGCAGCAGAAGCTCCAAAGAGAAAACAGATAGGTGTCTCCTTGGGGCCCTGGGGTGGAGAAAAAGCTGTGGCCAACCTGGGGCCCAGCACTCATTCCCAGGCCCTGGAGCTCTCCTGCGAGTGTGACTAGCCTGGCCGGCACCCCCGCCTTGCCACCTGGGCCACTCACCCTTGAGATCTGGCAGCTCCTGCTTACTGCCATGAGGAACCTCTGCAGCCACTTTGCTGCTCAGTCGATTGGCCACCTGCTCCAAGGGCCCAGGGACAGGCAGGCTCTTCTTGGGGAGCGGAGGGGAGCCCAAGTCCATGACCACCATTGCGTTTTCCTCAGAACCCAGGCCTGTGAGGTTAGGAGGACAGGCTCAGCCCAGGCAAGGTGCAGGGTGTGTACCCCAGAAGGCCTGAGAGTCTGGGTGCAGTAAGGGAGAACCCTCTTCCTATCCTTGGTGCCTGCTCTCACTCTGCGAGGCAATTCACCCTATAAAAGCTGAAGCTCCATCCATAACTCCTAGCATCAGTGTGACGCAGGAACGGCTAGGCTGCTGACTGACAGCAGAGACCTGAAGCAGCACCCGTCCAGAACACAAAGAGGCTGGAGGATGCGGAGCTGGTCTGGGTCAGGACTCCCGTCCTAGGAGATCTCAGAGAAAATATCTCTCTGGGCAGAACATGTGGAGGGGAGCATCTGTCAGCCTTGGGGCTGGTAGGTGCCAGTCAGAAGGGGAGTCCAGGAAGAGGTCAGGTTCAGAGACCAGAAAGGCAATGCAGAAGTGGGAGCCAAGGACTAGGAGGAGGCTCCATAGGGCTTGCTGGGTATCTCCACCAGACAATTCGGCTGGGGCTGGGGCTGCAGAGGCAACTGGGAGCGGGGGGCGAGAGGGGCCCACTCATCACAAGCAGAGCCCTAAGTGGGGCAAGGTGAGAACCGGGAGCTTAGACCGGCAGGGAGTTGACTGCGGGCAGGAGGAGGGGCAATCACAGAACTTTGCAGGAAGTTTCTGAGGCATCGGGCTAGAAGGCTTCCTTAAGTCAGATGTGTATGAGAACAAGGCGTTAAGGGTGTGTTTTCACGGTCTAATTTTTCCAAGAGAGGGGCCTCAGTGGCTGTTGGGCCCAGGTTTAGCGTTTAGAGCACCGAGAGAGCTCCGAGGAGGAGGAACTGCGTGCCAGACGGGGCCTCGGGGCGCTCGGGGCTCCAAGCAGGGAGCCGGGCAGGTCCCCCGCTCAGTCTGAGTACTCTGGAAGCAAGGAGAGGACCGGCAGGGGCGCCCGCCAGAGCCCGGGACACCGAGGATTTGTCAAAGCCCCCGGCTGGAGGGGGCGCGTCTGTCAGACGGGGCAGGGGCCGTGTCCGGGCCGAAGTGACGCGGAGCAGGCTTCCTCGCCGGAGTGACTGGGACTGCGGCGCGGGACGCCCGAGGCTCCGGGGTGGGGGGGTCGGGGGTCATCTGTCAGACGGCGCGCGGGCCCCGCGGGGCGGCGGCGGAATGTTTCTGGGCCCGGGACCCGGCGAGCGGCGACAGGAGGCCCAGGCCCGAGCGGCCGGAGAGCCCGGGGGGGAGGGGCGCCCCGGACACGGGACGGCTGGCGTCGGGCGCGGCGGCAGGCGGGACGCCGACTCGGCCCTCCCCGCACCCGTCCCGTCGCGGGCTCTTACCCGGCGCGGGCGCGGGCCCGGGCTCCGGCTCGGCCTTGGGCCCGTCCCGCGGCGGCGGCGGCGGCGGTGGCGGGGGTGGGGGCGGCGGCGGCGGCGGCGCGGGCAGGGCCGCGGACCCCGGGCTCGGGGGGCCGGGCAGGGGCGCCCCCGCTGCCGCGCGCTCCCGGGCGCCCCCCGCGCGCGGCCCCGCCGCCGCCTTGCTCTCAGCTTTTGTCACTCGGCACTGGGCGGTGGAGGCGGCCATCTTGGCTCCGGCGCACGCGGGGCGGCCGCCCCAGGCGGGAGCAGCCGAGTGTCGAACGCCGCTGCCAAGCCTGCTCCGCTTCGCCCCGCCCCTCGGGGCGCGCCCAGGGCGGCCGGCCGAGTGCCGAGCGCCGCGAGCGAAACACTCGTCCCGGCGCTTCGCGCAGGATCCCGGAGCCTCAGGGAGCTGCCGGTGCCCCCCGGCTTCCGAACGCACGCACGCTGTGCTTCGGCCTGCCGCCAACTACCGCCCCAGTTCGGGCCTCGACCCTCCCCGAACCCTGGAAATCCCTAAGGCTAGGACTGGAATCCTCCAGCCACAAGCATCCGCCTTAACATCCAGGTTCCTGGAGCCCCGACGCGGGGAGCTAGGACCTGCTCCGGAACCCTGTTCCGTTCCCTTCCCTGGGGGTCTCCCCTCCGGGTCGAGGATCCTAGACGTTCCCTGATCCCTAACCACGAGGATCTCCTCAACATCATCCTGGTATCCAGCTGTTCCCCGACGGTACTGTCTTGCAACCCTGTGGAACTCCCCACAAGGCCCACACCACATTTCAAGCACAAGCCCCTTCACCCTCCCCAACAGCAAACCGATTACCCCCAGCTGTTCCTTGACAGCTGGGTGGGGCCAGCATCTGACCATTGCCCCGCCCCGCCCCAGCCCACTTAGGGAGGGGTGGGAGAGGCTTCTAAGGAGAGCCCTGCAGGGAGGGTGGCCAGCCCCAGCCCTAATGTTAGGCTATGGAAGGATCAAGCCAAAGCTTCCAGGAGCGTCTCAAACTACTTAAAGACCCACCTGCCGACCAAGGATTCCCTTTTAAGATTGATCATAGCTTCCCCTCCCAACGACAAGGAAGGATGGTACAGGCTGATACCTTACACCCCAGTGGCTTAGCTGGCTCCCTCACCACTACCTGGGCGCTGGCACATTGGTCTTCCTGTGGAAACAGCTTGGCCAGACCTGAATATGTAAACCGCCTCCTGCGCCCCCCACCCCAGCCACCCCTCAGAGCCAGCTCTGCCTCCCAGCCACCAGAGACACCACAGGTGTGTGAGCTGAATGCCCAGAGGACAGCCTTCAGCAGAGGAAAGAAGTCTGAGGTCTGTGTCTCCCCAAAGTGTGTCCTCAACCAGCCACTATTTTCTCTCCGTGTCTGTCTCCTTGTCCAAGGAGGAGAGGTAACTTTGATAGTTCTGCCTCCACTTTGCAGTCTCTCAAGTGCTCTTCACTGGTAAGGTGGCTTGTGGATGGGTCTGGCCAAGCCCAGAGTACAGATCTAGGGAGGTGCCCTTGGAAGCTCTAGGTAGGGGAAACAGAAAGAAGCCTCAGCACCCAAGTAACTGATGGTCAATTTCCCTATTCAAGCACTTTCTCAATTCCCTAGAGCCAATCCACTCCTCATTGCCGAGTTCTCTGTTTTGAGATTCAGTCTCACAAAGTCAGGCTTTGCAACACTGGGTCCTTCACCTTTCTACTCCCTCCGTGGTGCTCAGCCTCCAGCTCCTTCACCAAAATATTACACCTGGATTCCTTAAGCCATCCTCCACTGGAGAACCCACCAAACTTGGTGTTCAGAAGTCTAGCTCTGATGCTTTGTGAAGTGATGACCCACAGTTTCCTTATCCGTAAAACAGGAACACAGCAATACCTAGCGCTACCCACAGGATTGTTTGGAGGCATAAATGAGGCAAAACCTTAGTACATAGCAAGCACTCAATTATGGGATGGGTATACAATACTGCAGGACAAAGCAGACACCACTGAAAACCTAGAATGTAGATGTAAGACCTGCACTGTCCAATAGGATTGCCACTAACCTCCCATAGCTGCATTTCAAGTACTCAACAGTCATATGTGGCCGGTGGTGACCGTATAGGACAGCACAAATACCAAGAACATCTCCATCATCTTGGGAAGTTCTATCAGACAGCACTGTTCTAGATAGATGTCTTTAAAAGCCAGGATTCTGGAGCCTGACCTGCTTGGAGTTTCTAATCCCAGCTCTACCACTTGCAGCTATGTGACCTTGGGCAAGTTAATGATGCTCTCTGTGCCTCAGTTTCCTCATATGTATAAAAGGGATAATAATAATACCCACCTTATAGTGTTGTTGTGAGGATGTAAATGACTTTGTGTTAGTCAAGTGCTTAAGACAGTATTTGGCTCCTAGTAGGAGCTTGAGAAGTGTATGTTAGATTCACTGTCAGGGCAGGGATAAAGTGGGTCCAGAAGGAGCCCTGGCCAGCCCCTGAGTAAGACAAAAATGACGCCTAAGTGGCAGGCCATCTGTGAGGACAGTTGTCAACATACTTTGTGACTTGAAACATTCTCAGGGTGGAAGTGGCTGTCCCCCTCCCCACCCTCCCTTCCCTCTAGGCCCCTGGGGAGGGTCAGAGCTCCAACCCTGTCCGCACCCTCACCCCTTACCATCTCCGTAGGCTGGCCCAGGGTCCTCAGTCCAGGTGGGCGGAAAGGGCACTGTAAGTGGTAAGCGAGGCCGGCGGGAGGTCAGGAAACCACCAGGCGGCCCCCCAGGCTCACAGCCCAGGGGGCTGGGGGGCTGCTCAGTGACTGAGGTGGCCAGAAGCTCCTGCAGGATATTGATGGGTGAGACAGTGAGCTCCCAGTTGGTGATGCCAAAGTCCCGCAGATGGGCCCGGGCGTGGCTGGAGAGGCCAGCCCGGGTGTCAAAGCCGGCCCCACAGAAGTCACAGCGCATCAGGCTGAAGGTGCCTGGGTCGAAGTTGGCCACTGCAGAGGGAGAGAGAACATGGGCTGCCTGGAGGGACGATTCTCCGGCTCCAGCCCTCCATGAACCTGGGGCTGCCCACCCTCGCTACATCACACAGCCCGAGCCATTCTCCACCCTGGATGCCTCCCATCTGTGCCATTCACGCTCCTGTCGGCATCAGCTCATGCCCCCTCCTGCTCCAAAAGGCCTTCTCTGCCTGACCTTCCAGGTTCCCCCCTCACAAAGTTCACAGCATCAGGGACCCCACCCTCAGAAACCTGCTTCTGCTGTTGTGGGTTTGCAATCATCTGGGTGAGTGTTCCATGAACACCCCTGTCTAGCGTTCATGTCTATTTCTGTTCACTATCACCCCAGTGTTGTCAATTACATCTTTGTTGAATGAAGAAACGGAGGAACAGACCAGTTGTCATCCTCTGGGAGTCTGCTGGACCCATCTCAGGTGGGATCAGGGCCCTCGTCCTGGCTTCCTCAGCCCCCAGTGTCGCCCATCACAGCCCTGGACACTCAGCATCTTAACTGCCTGGTTTCACAGCTGCCTGCCCTGTGCCCCTTACCCCCAGCATGCCAAACCCCCCGCCAGCACCTCTCCAAGGGGCTCCATGTCTGCCAGTGTCAGAAGCATCCAGGGTGCTCAGGTTAGAGACAAACCTCCAGAATCAGAACCCTGGTGCCTGGGAATCTGCACACCTCACAGGCAGCCCTCAGGAGTTCTGAAGCCAGCCAGTAACACCACTGCTGTTACTGGGCCATGAACTCCGGGAGAGCAGGGGGCTGCTTTTCCGTTCACTGCTGTGTCTCCAAATGCCCAAAAGAGAGGGGACCTCGCTCAATAAATATTTGCCAAATGAAGGAATCAATGAAATTCCCTGCCCGGGGCTGACTCCTCTGCCCATGCTCCTTCCTCCAGCTGCTCGAAGGGCCCAGGATGGCATTGGTGCATCCCCACACCTCCACTGATGTGGTGGCCTTTGCTGCAGCTCCCAGGTCTTCTGGGAGGAGAGACCCTGACTTCACCCTGCTCAGCACTATGGAAGGATTTAGAGTGAGGGTTGGTTGGTTCAGAACTCAGCTGCCCGGCCGTGCGACTCCAGGGCCTTGGAGGGAGGTGGGTGCCAGAGAGAAGCTGCCCTACCTTTTTTCTTCTTCTTCTGGAAGGAGAACCTGCGCTCGATAGCCTTCACCTCCTCGGCGGAGATGAAATGCCGCACGTTGTAGCTGACACCTACGCGGTTCAGGTGTCCCCGGATGTGGTTGGCCAGGCCAATGCCATTGTGGAAGCGATCTGCACAGTAGGGACACTTCCGCTCCTCGTGCTTCAGCACCACTGCCGGGTCCCCGTCCAGCAGCGCGTCCAGTCCTAGAGGGCCACCCAACGGCGCATCCAGGAGCAGAAGGTCGAGGGGGTGGGTGGCCCCCAACCCCAGCTCCGCAGGCTGCAGCCTTGCGGGCGCCCTGGCTGCTGCAGCCATGACCTGTGGCCCAAGCTTGGCCACCAGCACCACGGGCACCATCCCACGGAGCTGCTGCTGCTGTGCCTGTGAGGCCTTGGCTGCCCGCAGGGCTTCTTGGAAAGTCTGCTTTAGCTCCAGGGCCGGCTGTGGGATGAGGCCAGGGGCAGTGGGGAGCAGGAAGACCCCATTTCCAGGGGAAAGATCCATTTCTGAGGGCAGCGGTAGGTCCTCTTCCTCCTCTTCGCTCCAAGGGTGCCTCCGGCCCCTCAGTTGGGCTGGGAGCTCCTGCGCATGGACACTGCTCTTGTTTCTACTGGGCTGTAAGGAGTAGGGGGTGGATACTAGTGGTGTGGGAAAGGCTGCGCTTCCCAGGAGCCGCTGGCCCAAGCCATGCAGGAGTGGCTTTGACAGTGGGAAATCCCTCATGCCCAGCTGCTGGCAGCCTGGGCCAAAGGCCAGCCTCGGGTCATATCCAGCAGGGTTCTCCTGCCACATGGGGGCCAAAAGGGGCTCAGCTTTGCCAAAGTAGTCCTCAGCAGCATCAGGGGAGTGGGCGTATGCATTCTGGCTGGTGCCTGGTTGGCTAGCAGGGTCCTCTTCAAAAGTCTCGCCATCCTCCTCCCAGTGGGGACGGGTGTGCGCGAGCCTCACGTGCTCCCGGAGCAGGCTCTCGCTGGGCGCTGGGAAGCCACAGAAAATGCAGCCACTGAGGCCCGAGGAGGCTGCATAGGGCTGATAGGCAAGGGTGGTGGCATCGGGGTCTGGGCTGCTGGCCCCGCTGCCACCCCCCGAGGGCTCCTTGGCGGCCTGGCAGGGCGGCTCACGCACGTGCAGCTTGGCATGCTGCATAAAGGCCTTGGGTGAGTTGGTGCCAAAGATGCACTTGGAGCACTGCAGTCTTGCCTCCCGGCCCTCATCACCTGGGACACGCTTCAGCTTCTGGATTTCCTCGATGATCTTCTCCCGGGAGGCCTGGTGTAGCTGCCGGTGCTGCTCGAGGGCACTGGGGTCGGCAAAGGCCCAGCCACACTCGCCGCAGGCCAGGGGGGCCAGGTCGGCAGGGGGCTCCTGGCCTGGGGCTCGGCGGTGCTGGCTCATATGCTCCAGAAGGTGTTCCTTCTGCTTGAAGTAGATGCTGCACTCGATGCACGGGAACACGGCCGGCTCCTCGTCCTCATCCTCGTCTGCGCTGGCCATGCCCGTGGCTGCCTCCTCCAGTAGCTCACACAGGTAAGGCCCCGTCTGGATTGGGGGCAGCAGTGGCTGCAGCCGCTCCACGGATGCCTCTGAGTTCACCGTCCAGGTCTGCGTAGCCACCTCTGCGGCGGATCGGGGCAGGCCCCACTCGGATGGCTGGGTCAGCCCCTCGAGGTCCGCCAGGTGCTCCGTGGTGCCCACCACTGCTGCATCCAAGGCCTTAGAGGAGTCTTCTACTGGCAAGAGCACCGTCCTGAAGGAGGCGAGGGGCAGTGGCTGGGACGGCAGGTCCAGGGACAGCCCTGAGTCCTGGGGCAGGGCCTGCCCATCTGTGTCTCGGAGCCAGTCGAATTGGGGGCGGCCCTGGGGGGCCTTCTCCAAGAACTTTGGTTCGTCCTGGTGGTGCAAGAACCTTCTAGAGCCCTCGAGGTCAGTGTGAGGCTTCACGGTTCTCACAATGACCGAGTCCTCGAACCTCCGCTCAGATGGGATGCCCTCCCTGGCCTCCTGGACCAGGGGGTGTTCCCAGGGCCCCCGGCCATCGGGGGGGCCAGGGAAGTGGCCCAGGAGATGGGGTGGTGGGGAGCCCGGCCGGAAGTCTAGGCTGCCTCCATCCCAGCAACTGCAAGGAAGTGCCAATGAGGACAGGTTAGCCTTAGGCCTCAGCTCCCCTTCCTCAGGTTGGGGAGGGGGTCCTCCCAGGCAGTCTGAGGCAGGTCCCAGAGACCCAGCTTGAGGCCAGCTCGGGAGGGCCAGGAACGTGGGGGGATAGGGGGAGGTGGTGGAGTACATGTGGACCCTTCCAGAGCCATTGGGCCAAAAGCCAGCTTCATCTCCTAGAGCACCTGTCCATAGAGCCCAGCCCCACTGATTTGTGGGAGTGTGTGTGGAGGCCACCCTGGGGTCACAGGGTATGTCCCCAGGTCTGGTGGCACAGTCAACTCTCATCTGTCCCCCGGGAGGGCCCAAGGCTCTGCCCTGTGCTCCAGGCTGCTTCTGTCTTGCCCCTCCTCCCCCACTGAGACTGGGGTTATCGAGTTTATTTAATTTCACTTCTCCAGAAAATTTGGTGAAACTGTGGTGTAAACAACCCAAGGGAATGTGCCTTTCCTCTGCATATTCCTTGGAAGGGCAGAGTCAGGAGAGATGGAAGGTCCCTGCTCAGCCTCTGGCCCCAGTGACCCTGACTGCCTGCCTTTGGGGGTGGGGGAAAGGCAAGGTAACTTCACTGAGCCTCAGTTTTCCAATCCTAAAAATGAGGGACAGATCCAGGATCCAGGAGCACTGGCATCATTATGCAAAGTCAAAGAAGCTTTCTAATATCCATAACCAAAGAAGATGTAATACATGGCAGGTGCTTATTTAAATGAGCTCAGCCAGAAACCTTCAGGGGACCATGACCCCGTGAAGTGTATGTTGAGGATGACACAACCCAGTTCCCCTGCTGCCAGGCTCCTGACGAGCCCACAACCCACATGGGTTCTTATTATGACTGTTCCTGGCCAATCTCCCTTCATTTTCAAGATCCTGTCTCCACGAAGGGCTCTCAGTTGTGCAGGTGGAACAAATGTGGAAATGGGTCCCACCAAGAGGCTGAGCAGAAATCACTGGTCACTTCTCTGAGCTGCACTGGTGGCATGTGATAATAACAGGGCCATCCCCCCAGGACTGTGGGCAAAGACTCACTGGGAGTAAACCTGGGCTGAAAGCCTCGCTCACAGCAAGCACTCAATAGCTGAGAGCTGTTATTGATCCTGAGGCGGCTATTATTACATATTAGCACCTGCCAAGCCTTCTAACCAAGGGTTGCTGTTGCCAGCATTGCTGCTGATCCCTGCTCCTACCCATACCCCTTGGCGCCTCAAGGCAGGTTGGTGAGATGCGTCCTAGGGGCTCCATTTTACAGATGAGGAAACCGAGGCTCAGAGAGGCCTGGCATCATTCTAAGGGTCAACTGGCAGACACAGGACTCCAAGGGTCTACCCTCCAGGCTCCTGGCCCTCTGGCCCGGCTCCTGGCAGGGATAATGAGAGTTGACTCTCTGTTTTCACCCCAGTCCTCCCCAAACCCCAGGGGCTTGCCTGCTGGGGGCTTCCTCCTCCTGCCTGGCCTCCTGTTTCCCTCCTGTCCCATTCTCACTCTGGGAAGGCTTCTCTCAGGCCTGGGCACATCCTGCTTGCCCCCCACTGAGGTCAGGGCCAGCATGGCACTCACCAGCTGCTGATCCGATGGGTGGCGGAGGTGGCACGGGGGAGGGCTTCGCTGAGGCCAGGATGGGGATGCCCATCTGCAACAGAGAGGGGAGACCCTGAGGGGCTGGGGTCCCCCTGGCTGGGGCCCTTCACAGCACCCAGCTCTGGGAGCCCTGCTGGGTGCCTCAGAAGGGCCCAGCTGGGCTCCCTACCCCTTCTCCCTGCAAGGCCTTTGGCCTCTGCATTCCTGTGCCTTGCAAGGATTTTCTTTGGGGAAGTCCCCTTATCTCGCCTGGGGGACCCCTGGGGCTTGCTGCCTTCAAACCTCCTGTCTTTGCCCCTGCCCAGCAGCCAGGGTGAATTTTTAAGTCACACACTGGTAAAACCTCGCCTGGACTCTCATACCTGCACTGAAAGCCTAATGCCTAACCACCATCTCTAAGGCCCTGTGAGACTAGACCTCTATAGCTCTTTCTAGCCTCATCTCCCTCTCCTTGCTCCTCACTCACTCTGCCTGGGCTCCTTGCAATGCCTAAAGCCTCTCTAACTCTTTTTGGCCTCAGGGCCTTTGCACTGGTTCCTTCTGCCTGAAGAGTCCTTCCCTGGCCACTGACTAAAGTAAGCCCCTGGGATTTTCTCTCTCTCTCTCTCTCTCCTGTTTCATTTCTTTCTTAGCACTCTGAGATTGCCTGGTTCCTTCTCTGGATGTCTGCTTGCCTGTGTCCTCTGCCAGCCACAAGCATCCCCCGAGGGCAGGGACTTTCTCAGCCTCATTCACTGCAGCAGCCCAGCACCTGGCACGCCACAGGTGCTCAACCAGTGCTTGCCAGAGGGTGAGCCTGAGCTGCGGAGGGCCCTGCCTCCCAGACCCCCTTCTGGGCCTAAGTCCTTGAACGAATGCCCTCCTGGGACCCCTCACACAGACAGAGCCAACTCTCCATTATCCGCCTGTAGAGCCAATGCCTGGAGCGACCACAGGAACCCTGGCTTGCGCCTGCCTCTGTCTGCAGCACTCGCCTGACGTGGGCGAGTGTGCCAACTGGGGTTCAGGCCAATTGCCTGGGCCAAGGGTAACATACTGGGGGGACTTGCTCCCTGTCCAGAGCCCAACAGATGCGACTTCTGGATTAGCTTTCACCAGAGGATCGTCCAAGAAGGGCTAGGGGCCAGGCTAGTTCTCTTTCCAATCTCCTACCACCCAATTTGCCCAGGAAATTGAGAGCAGACTGTCAGGAACTAAAGAATTAAAAGTACCAGTTGTTGTTGTTGGTGGTGGGGTGGTTAGAAAGTTTCGGCCACTGCCCAGGCTTACTTCTGCTGCCTGACAGAAGGGCTGGGACTGTCATGAGGCTCTTAGAAGATGAGGGTAGTGAGGGGGGTAGAGAAATTTGCCACGTCCAGAGCAGTTTCTCAACCTCAGCACTATTTGAATTTGGGGTCAGATCATTATCTGAACTCTATAATGCTGAACAGCCTCCCTGGCCTCTACCTACTAGATGCCAGTAGCCCCTGTGCCACTCCCTGCCCCTAGCCCTGCAGTTATGACAACCAAAAATATCTCTAGACACTGCCCAAGTGTCCCCAGGGGGCAGAATCAGCCCCATTTGAGAACCCCTGGAGTCAACTGATGGTGGGAACAGGGCCAGGCCATGGGTATGCTTGGATACAAGTGCTGGTGTCTGGGTGGGTAGATGGGGTGGGATGTTCGAAAGGGTGGGAAGGTTGAGAAAGCAAGGCCTGGACCAGTCAAGGGAGAGAGACCCCAAAAAGCAGGGTCTCTTGAGGACACAGAATCATAGACCTGAGCTTCTCAGAAGAGGGCTAAGCAGTTCACAGGCAACAAGCCCCGGGCATGAATCTGAGGGTCCAGGCATACTGCTTCTGAGATTCTGGGACCTCAAACTCCTCCCAAGATTCTGTGCGTCCCAGATTTGATGATCCTGTGATTGCTGTTGTCTAAGAATTCCGTGAGCCAGGGGGCCGTGCTGGCCTCTTTGAGCAGCCCCAGCGAGGCTCCTATTTTTAGTGGCAGTGACTCTGGAGGAAGCAGGCCAAACAGGGCCCAGGTCTGAGCCACCTGATGGCTGGGGGGCTTTCCCAGAAGCAGTGGCCATGCTGAGGGGCTCTCACTGACTCCCGCCATCTGGGGTCTCCCAGAGGGTTTGAAAATGAGCAAGGGAAAATGAGAAAGGTCCATGAGCAGTTTGAACCCCAAGTCAGGCAGACTGGCCAAGAATCTAGACTTTGGAGGTGGTCAGATCCAAGTTCAAGGCCCAGTGGTGACCTGAAGGGAACGTCCTTCCCGCCTGTTTCCATCTCTGTAAAATGGGAGCAGCTATTGCCTCAGTTTCGCAGGACCAGTGATGGGTGCCAAGACCAGAGTCAATGTTCCATCCACAGGTGTCTGAAGGGCGGGGGGAAGTGGGAGTGCCCCCAGGTCAGGGCTGACTCGGTTGGAAGCTGGACACTGGACTCCAAGCCTCAGGCGCTTCACTCAGGCTCTGATTTCCTCCTCAGCCCGGGACCCTATGATGTGTGTCGTTGGGCCCCTGCCCCCCTAATCCCAATGCCAGGCACACACCAGACTTCACCAAACCATGTGGACTGCCTCAGTCCCCCAAGCCTTGAATGCATCCAGGAGGCCAAACACTGGGTGGGGCTGGAGTCTGCGAGGATTCCAGGCCAACAGCTACACGGAGGACAGAGGAGGCAGTGGACGTGTCACTCCGGGGTGCCCTTGGGGGGCTTTGAGGGCTGGGCAGGGATGAGGGAGGGCCCAGGCTCAGGGGTGAAACAGCAACCCCAGAGGCTGTTCCTATTTATAGGTATCACAAGATTCCTAGGGCAGGTGCCCACGCCAGGGAAGGGGGGTCAAGCAGGCCTAGAGGGCAGTGGGGGGAGACGCCGTGTCCGAAGCCCAGGCCCTCCACCCACCTCTGTACTGTGGCTCCACTCCAAATCAAGCCACCCTTGCTCCAGGGCACCATTATAGGTGGGCCTGGTCCCCTTGGGCAGCCCCATTCTCCTCCCCCACCAGGCACATGTGCTGCATCCTGGCTGATTCAGGGGACAGGGGTGGGGATTGAGGATGCACCTACCTACCTACCTTACTCCTCTCTCCAGACTGGGGGCTCTTGCCTAGAAAAGAAGCACCCAGATCCTCAAAACCAGACCCAGAGACAAACTTGGGAGCACAGCAGCTGTTCTCCAGGGCTCCCGCAAAGTCAAGGCCCTGGGCCTGCCCTGGCCAGCTGGGTGACTCCGGACATGGTCTTGTCATCTGGGCGTTGGTAACTAATGGTTTGAGGGGAGGGAACTGCTAAGGCCCTGAGTGCTGATACCCTGCTCTCAGTGGTCTCACCCTGCCATCCCCCTGCATGACATCCTCAGATGCCACCATCCATGTCAACCCCATGCCACTGCATATGTGCAGCCTGCTGCCAGGAGCCCGCTTCCCTTTTTGCCTGACTCCTTGCTCCTCATCTGGGACTTCTGGATGCCCCCCGGGCTGGGCTTCCCCCATGGCAGCCCCAGCCACTGTGTCATAACACCTGGTGGCTAGTCTATCTCCCTGACCCCAGATGGCAGGGTCCATGAGGCTGGGGATAGTATGTGTGCTTGGTCACTGGCTGTGCCCAGTGACTGGTGCTGAGGAGGTGCTCTGGATATCTGAGCATCATGAGTGTTGCTAAGGGTCATTTGGGGCAGGTCAAGGAGGCTTTGACACAGGGTGGTAGTTAAGGAAAGGGCTGCCAAACCAGGTTACTGTCTAGCTGAGAGACCTTGGACTACTTACTTGACCCCTTAGGATGTGAGTTTCCTCATCTCTAACATGGGCTAATAACTGAGGCAACCCCATTCTCTTTTGAGAATCACATGAGATATCACATAAGGGCTTATTAGCATGTAGGAAACCCCTGATGAGGTGCTTGGAGGTTCCTGGAAACCAAGGCCTTTAGGGCAGGCTGAGGAATGAGGAAGGCATCTGGTGCATCAGCCTGTACTGCCCCTCCTCCCACAACTCTCCAGCTATGCCAGGCTCCTCCTTACCACAGGACCTTTGCACCTGCTGTTCCCTCTATGTGGCTTGCCCTTCCCACCATTCATTCCATGTTCCATTCAAAGTCCACCTGCTCAGGGAGGCTTTCCCAGGTCCCCAGGCATGATCCTGGCTCTGTGTTAAATACCTTCACAGCATCTGTCATTACCTGCCTTTATTTATATACATGGTCTTTTGTGTCCCCTTTACTAGAATGTCAGGCCCCTGAAGGCAGAGACTTTTGCCTCTTCTTTGCATGGCTGTATTCCCAGCGTCTAGAACAGAGCCTGGCACATAGTAGTTGCTGAGCGTTTAATGACTGAATAATAGATCTCGGGGTAGGAATAGCATAAGATTCCCCTTTTGCTCAGCAAACCAAAGTACAGAGGGGTGACTGGTGTCCCTGACTACCCACTCTCTCCCCAGCACCAGAGGGCACATGCTGCTCTGGCCCATGGCTCAGGAGCACAACTTAACAGGACAGTGCAGCAAGAGAGAGCTGGGATAGACTAACAAGAATGGGATATGTATGGGGAATGAGTGGGCTCGGGGCAGGATGTTTAGGATGTTAAGCTGGGCACTGCACCCAATTAGTGTGCTCAGAAGAGGGAGCCAGATGGACCCAAGTTCAAGTCCCAGCTCCTTGCCACTGGGGGGACCTTGGTTAGGTCATTGGCTCCCAGGGCCTCTGTTTTCACAACAATAAAATGGGACACTAAGCAGTGCAAAGGACAGTGCAAAGGGAACGCTGTGGACACAAGCAGAATCAGAATGCCAACTCAGCACCTGCTACCCTGAATGATTTGGTCCTCTCTGAGCCTCAGGGACCAGGCTGGATGCTCCCCCAGGGCCACAGGACCCCTCTCTTACCAGAAAGGCCACCTTTGCCATCCAAAATGTCTCGGGGGCCCTCCTTGGTGACAGGCAGGTAATGGGTGGACCGGAAGATGCCACCTTCCCCCTCAGCAGCCTCAGCCCCACCTTCAATGTCCTGTCTTGGTGCTGGGCCAGGCAGTCTCTCAGGACCACGAGGACGATCTGGGGTGGCCAGACCTCCTGCCAGTGGCCCGTCCATGAGTGTCGTCTACTTGGCTCCACTCAGTTGCTGGGTTGGCTCAGTGAGGCATTGTAGATCTGGGGGCAGAGACACAGGTGCTCAGGGTTGGCGAGAGAGGGACTCAGCCTCAGTTTCTCCTTTTTCAAAGCCCCAGCCCTCACCCTTGCAGCTTAGGTGAGCTAAGTACATGGTGCTGAGGTCCTATCCACACACACTACATCCTAGATGGCCGCTAGCCTCAGTATGCCTCAGTCTCCCCATCAATAACTCCTCTTTTTACACAGATCCTGTACTGCCTCAGTTTACCCTAGTTTTACACAAGCACACTCAGTCACCTTCTTTCCTTCCCAACACTCATCTGATCACTTTTCCCAAATGCCTCCTTTCTTTCCCACACTGCTGCACTTTCCCCCGGTGATGCCTCCACTTCCATGCACCTGCCCATCCCGTGTCCATCCTGCAGTGTGAATCCCGGCCACCTCTGCACTCCGGTCCTATATGCTTCCTCAAGTGCCCCCATCATTACCCTGCAGTTATCCCATATTCCAACCCCCTGCCCCATAACTTAGGGTTCCCCAGCATTAACCCCTTCTCTTCTCCCCAACATTACACCCCATGCGGACCCAGCGCAGGCTCCTCCATCCTACCCTCCCAAGATTTCTCTAGTCTGTGGGCAAAAGGGACAGATGTGGCTCCTGGTTCAGAAATGAGGACCCTGGATCAGAAATGAGGACCCTGGGGAGGCCATAGGGTGTGTGGGGGGGGCGTCCTCTACACCTATAAATACCTTCAAGGTAACAGCGGAAAGTGAAGGGCAGTAATGAGGCGCCCTCCCCAGGGAGATGGTGGGGAGGCCGGGCCCAGGCAACCCGGGGCGGGGCCCGGGCTCCAGGCCTGGCTGCGCGCGCTGCCCTCGGGGGCCTGGAGGCTCCCAGGGGGCCAGTCCAGGGCCTGGCAGTCGTGGTAGGGGTCCCTGTCCAGGCCCGGAGTTAGCACCTGAGGGTGCCCACCGGGTGGGCACTGCCCGCGGGAACGGGCGGGACCGCAACTTCGGAGCACTTTGGCAGCGTGGGGAGGGGGGGTTCCTGCCAGGACTCCCCCCGGGGGTCACAGGGGTGGAGGTGGCGCAGCGCCAGCGCACCCCTTGGGGAGCCAGCGTCCGGGAGACTCTCCCTCCACCCGTGAACTTCGGGGTGGGAGACCCCGCGGGACGCTCCGAGGTAGGGGGGAACACCTGCCCCAAGACCCCCACTCCTCTCCCCACCTGCACGGCCCCGCCCCCGGTCAGGCCCCGCCCCTACATGCCCCGCCCCCGCCCCCCGCCCCGGGGGGTCCCGCCTGGCCCGGCCCGGCCCCGGCCTCCCCCTCCCCGCGCCGGCTCCGCCCCGCCCGCGAGCTCCCCAGGCCGGGCCGGGCCTCACCGGGGAGGCGGTGCCGCCGGCCGGGTGCCGGGGCTCGGAGCTCCCCTCCTCGATGCGGCCGTTGCTGCCGCTATCCCCGTTGCCGCTCTCGGTGCCGGTGCCGCGGCCTCCGCAGCCGCCGCCGCCTCCACCGCTCGGGGGACATTGTCCCTTTAAATCTCTCCCCCCGCCGCCCTGCCCCCCCGGCGCGCCGCCGTGACCTCAGCGCGACAGCCCCGCCGCGCCGCCATGATGGGGAGGTCTAGGGGGCCCCGGCAGCTCCCTGCACCGCGCCGGGTTTGGGGGAAGGCCAGCGGGCTCGCCGCCATATTGGGAGTGGCCAGACGGGTCATCCTTAAAGGGCCAGCGTGTCCCGAGAGTCCAGGGAGAGGCTGTGTTTCCATGACAACATTTTTGTCCTCCTGCCCCCAGTGGCTCACCCCACCCCACTGGTTCTTCCAAGCTAGGCCCGCTAACAGCACCAGAAAAGTGGGGAGGGGCAGAGAAGTTCCCCCATGGGTCATTCATATATCACTGAGGACACTGCCCAGCCCATCCTAGCCTTCAGTTCCTTGGCCCCAATCAGCTACCTTCCAGCCATAAAATTACTCCTTCCTTTCCCACTCTCCACACTGGACTCAGTACCACCATGCCCCTAGAGTCACCCTAGTCCCCATTGCCAAGCCTCCCTTCTCCACCCAACCTGCAGGATCACTGTCTGCAGGACTAACCCAGCATGTACCTGTAGGCCTGCAGCCTTCTCCCATCCATCACCCATCCACACGTGTAATCATCCATCCATCCACCTTCCCACCTGTTCATCCAGATGCTCAACCAACCACTCACCTATCTGTTTAATCAGCTAACCACCCATCCATCCACCCCTCTAATCACCCATCCATCCATCCATCCACCCATCCATCCAAACACACAAACCACTCATCCACCTCCCATCTACCTACTCATCCATCCACCACTCAACCAACATCTGATCCCTTCAGCCAGCAAGCCACCCTCCCAAATCCCCACACCCATCCACCCACTTAACCCATCCATCCATGTCCCACCTACCTGCCCATCTGCCCACCCCCAAGGAAATGCTTACTTATCCATAAAACCAAGAAGCATTCATCCATTCCTACACAAATCCTTCTACCCCACCACCCAGACATGCATCTATCAAGTGCACCTTTACTAGTTTGTGTCCTCTACTAGACTGTAAGGTCCAGGAGCACGGGAGTCCTGGACAGGGCTAGTTCATTATTATTTTCCCCACATCCAGCTCTAGAGTCTCAGAAGACCTCAAACAAATGTTATATGTAATACAATACATATAACCACATACTCAATTAATGAAATATTTATTTCCTACTATGATCCAGGCCTTTTCTTGGCAGATGTATCCATCCAGAGAACAGTCTACTCACCTACTCTGGCAAACACCCAGGAGAGGCTAACCTGTTCATCCGCCTATTGTCTCTTTCTTCCTACCCCTCACCCATCCACCCACCATGATTGAAATGCCCTCTCAGAGCTCAACCAGTTCCACACCTACTGGCCCTTTCTGTCTTCAGCCTCCCAGACCCATGCTCTCCCTGCCATGAGGGAGATTTGGGAGCCTAGGAAGATGCTCTCATCTAAGGCCTAGAGGGGTTGGTGGGGGTGGGATCTGGCCTTCGTTGAGAAGCAGGTGCTGCTCCTAACAGTAAATATCTTTTATTAAACTATGGATCTTCCACTGTGTAAGGAATTTAACTCCATTTTACAGATGAGGACATTAAGGTTCTGAGACACTGAAGGCCTGAGGTCACAGAGCTGGTGACAGCCTCCTTACATTGCCCTCTTCATGAGACCTCCAGTTAGGGGAGAATTTGGGAGAACTGAAGAGGGGTAGATGGTGCTTTCTGGTTGGCAACACTTTGGGGCAAAAAAACCCATAGATTTTCTTGAAATCAAGATTTTACTGGGCAACCTCATAGTGCCAGGCCGGTTGGTACCTACAGCTCCACTCCCCACTGTACGCCACGTAGGGCAGGGGTCGGCAGGCCCCTGAGACGGCGATCTCTCTGCTCCCAGACCACGAGGGATGGGGTGGGCGGCTCAGGTGGTTTCTCCGTTGACACAGGGTGCTTTGAGAGGAAGCGGCTGGCTCCGGGACTCAGACGTCCTTGGAAGAAGTTGCAGGCTCTGGACGGCTTCTCTCAGCTGCGCCTGAGTACTCTCCATCTCAGCCAGGCGATGCTCCTTTGGAGGCCGCAGTAGTGGGCTCCGAGCCAGGGGAGGGTTGCACCCTTGACCCTGGTTCCCTCACAGCCCAGATTTGCCCCAGGGGTTGGACAGGGTCTTACCAGGTTTCTCAGCCTGTGGTTCTCACTTCTTGGAGCGACACGCCCTGGATCCAACTTCGAGGTTCTGTTGGGATCAGAGGTAAGGGGGCCGGTCAAAGACTGAGGAACACCTCCGCTCCAACTTCTGGTTGGAGAGCCGGAGATTTCGGGGACGGGGCTTGATGTGGAGGCGGGGCTTGTTCAGGCTGCAAGGCGGGGCCTAGATAAACTGGAAGAAGGGATTGCATTAGAGCCTTGAATGGTTGGGATGAAAGGACCAATCAACTCTTGGAGGAGGGGCTTGGCCAGTCCTGGGTGGGGTCATGACTGGGATGGAGCAGATAGAGAGGGCCTAGCCCAACTTGTTTGGGCGTGGCCGATTGAGGGGTGAGACCTGGACCACAGGACCAGCCAGGCACCTGGGGCAGGACCACCTGGTGGGCGGGAGGGGCTAACTAAGAGGCGGGGCCTAGACAGGTGTATAGAGGAGGGGCCAGGAGGGAGCGGGGCCGTTCAAGGAGTGATTTGAGTGGGACTGAGAGGCCGGGCCTGAAAAAATGTGGGGCCTGGGCGGACCTGATTATAGAGGACCCACGTGGGGGCAGAGCTAATGGAGAGGGCGGGGCTCACCCTTCCCGGAGCCTGGAGTCGAGGTCTTGCAGCTGGCCGCGAAGCTGCTCCTGCTGCTCGGTCAAGGCCTGGATATGGGTGCCCAGCGCCTCCACAAGGCGGGACAGAGCCTTCTGTTCCTCGCGCAGGGCGGACACCTCGCACTGCAGCTCGGCCAGCTGCGGGGAGGGAGCAGATGTCACCTGGCCCGCCATCCCGCCCCTTCTCCCCAAGACCCTCACCTCTCCGTCCTTTGCTCTCTGCCTGTTTCACCTGCCTGCCACGTTGGAGGAACTTCGCTTTCGTTTTACAGTGGAGGAAACTGAGGCTCAGAGAGGGTTGGGCTTAGGCCTGGGGTCACACAGCCCAGAGAGCTCGGTATTTGAGCCCAGAACTTCCCGACTTTCAGTCTTTTTCTAGTCTCGTCTTTCCCCTCTGTGCGCGGACCTGGACTGGACCTCACCTTGCCCACGGGTCGGTGCGTGCCCAGCGCCTGCTCTCTGCCCCGCGGCTGGTCCTGCTGGCGCTGCCAGGGCACCGACGGCTTTCGAGGCAGCGAGGCCGAGGCACCGGTCCAGGGCCGGCCGTGGGGCGCGGGAGCAGTGCGTAAGGATCCTTTGGGTCTCGGCCGGGGCCCTGTAGAGGGGCGGCGACGCGCAGAGCGGCCAGCGGGGACGCTCTGTGTGCGCTGCACCGGCCGGGTCAACCGTGGGGGCTGCTCTTCGTCTGGCCGCAGCCGCACCCAACCGCCTGCACCGTGAACGCTGCGCAAGGACTGGCTCTTGGAGATGAGAGGGGTGTGCTTGGGGAGGTCCCGGGGAGCCAGGAAGCCTGGTTTCTCCCCTGCAGAGAAACTGGGGTGGAATGCGGGAGCTCAGACCTTCGACTGTCTCCTGAGTTGACCCCATCCCTACCTCTGAGCAGAAATGACCCCACCCCTGATATTTTACTCCTGTGTGATCTTGTCACTGTTGGGATCACATTTTGACCTCTGCCCCTGTCCTGGAACTTCTGACAATACTGTCATTTCTGTGCCTTTTAACATATGACCCCAATCTAACCTTTGACTCCTCTCTAGCCTTGTCCCTGACTTCTGAAACCAGTACCCTTGACTTGACCTGTTCTGGAACCTGATTCTAATCTGACCCTGGGCTTGACCTCTGCTCACAAGAGTACCCTCTTCCTTCCCATCTGATCTCTTGTCCACAGCCTCTGACCTTAAGCTAACACTATCTTGCCTTGGATAGACCATGGTCCCTGACCTCTGACCCCAGATATGACTAAGAGTTGAAGCTCTTGACCCCTTCTGACTCTGGGCCTGACCTCTGCTCACATTATGAACCTGTCTCTTACCCTTGATGATGCATCTTAACATCAGATCCCGATCTGACCCATGATTTGACCACATTTACAACCCCTCATTTAAATCTGACCTTCATCACTAACCACAATGTTACTTGCTCTCCCTGACCACTCCAATGACCAGTCCCCACCTTGGACTCCAGCTTGACCCTGTGCCTGCCCTCTGACAACACCATGAGCCTTTCCCTCAACTCTTGGACAACTCCATCTCCAGCCTCTGATCTTAACCCAATGCTGTTTCTTACACTGACTCCAATGTAACCCTGTCTCTGACCCCTGACATGATCCTGTCTTCACCTCTGACCCCAATCTGATGCTGTGCTTGACTTTGGCCCTGCCCCTAAACTCACCCATCAGAACTGGACAGACTTGAAGCAGTCAGGTTACCTGGGGTGGAGCTGGGCTGGGTGTGATGGGAGACGCATTGGCACAGACACGGGCACAGGCCGGCCCTCCTCAATGGCTCGCAGGATGGTGGGCAGTGGTTCCAGGTTGTCACGGGTTGCCTGGGGAGGTAGGGAGGGTGGTGAACAAGCGGTTCAGGGCCCCTTGCCTCCCTACCCCATGTCCTGGGCTCTGGGCTCAGCTCACACCTGGTCAAGTTCAGCAAAGATGGTACAGAGCTGGGCATGAAGGACTGCCAGCTGGAGGGCTAGGTTGCTGCTGCCCTGGTAGCCACTGGGTGCTGCATCCACATCCACCATGGCCACCTGGTCCAGGAAACGTTGCATGGCTGGTCCATGGTCCTCCAGGAAGCCATTCATGAAGCCCATGTATGCCTCCTTCTCACCAAACCTGAATCAGGGCCCGACCAGGTGAGTAAGTTCAGGCATCTGCCACCCCCACAGCCCCAGCATGGTTTCCCAGCCTCCCAGCACCTACGGGGCATGGTTGGCAAGGTTCTGGATGACCTTGGCAATCAGTGTGAGGGTGCGCGCTGGGCCGGGTGCTGGGTGTTCTGGTGACAGGCCAAAGAGGCTGGGTGCCAGGATGGCAGGACACAGGAGCCGCAGGAAGAGAGAGGCACACACCAGTCGGGGGCCCAAGGCCTCAGAGCCACGTGCCTTGCATGCGTCTCGCCAGCCTGAGAACACGGTGCCCAGCTCCGCTGGGAACCAGCTGGGGCAAAAGAGGCAATGGTCAGAGGGAGTGTGTGGACATAAAAGTCACAGATGGTTAAAATTCTAAGGTCAGGAGGCCAGAGTCATGTGTTGTGGGTTCCAGAACTGGAGACATCAGGGAAAATGATGCTTGGGTCAGGGTTTATGGTGTAATTATTGTAGTGACCGCTGGAGGCAGTAATCTTGGAGTTGGGGATACAGGTTCACATGGAGACAGAGGCCATGAGCTTGGGCTGCAGCTCTAACTGGACATGAGATTGGGACATAGATGAAGTAGGATGGGCTTGGAGTTACAGGGTCACCTAGGTTCAGAAGTCATGGTATTGATGTCCCAGGGGACATATAGGTTAACCTAAGGTCAGAGGTCAAGGAATTGGAATTCCACATGTCCTGCGATCAGTTGCATGGGATTTGGAGTACAGGGTCACTAAAGATCAAAGGTCAAATGGGATTGGGGGTATAGCATCACCTGGAATCAGTGGTCATGGGATTGAGGTTGTATGTTAACTGAGGTCAAATAGCATGGAATTGGGGTATGGGGTCACCTGTAGTTAGAGGACAAGGAAAAATTGGGTCCCAAGTTATTTGGGGTTAATAACCCCTAGTTGACATGACATTGGGAAAGTGTTGCCAGATGTAACAAACAGAATTTCAGGACAAACAGTTAAACTTGAATTTCCGATAAATATTAATAAGTTTTTACAATTAATATGTCCCAAATATTGCACCACATTTAACTGGGCATTATCCTGTATTTTATTCGGCAACCCTTACTTGGAGTCAGGGTTCTCAGCCCAGTGGCAGGGAGGCAGGGGTGGGCTCAGGTGTTGGGACCCTGATTCTCACTTGTAGGACTGGATGATGTTCTCGAAGACCTCCTCACAAGTGCTTCGCAGTCTGGCCTGGTGCTGGGGCAGCTCCGGGGCAGGGCACTTGCTGGGGTCCACCTCACAGTCCTCCGTGGAGGCACAGAGACGCCGCACCACCTGCCCTGCAGTCCACCGCAGCCAGACAGGGGCCAGGTTCATGACCACCAGAACCTGCCACTTCCAGCTTTCGTCCCATCTCCGGAGGTACCTTACATCTCTGGGGAGCCCCCAGTTCCCTCTGGGATCCCAGGACTCCAAGGCACCACTCACTACCAGGATCCAGGTTACCCAGGAACTCATAGATCTCCCTGGGGGCCCCCTAGCCCACCCAGAAGACCTCTGACACCCAGGCTCACCCAGGGTCTGTTGGAGGTAATCCTGTGCCACCAGCTTCATATACTCATCGATGGCCTTGGTGGCTAATGTGTTTTCCCGGAACAGCAGCGCCTCACGGCCTCCACTTCGTGACAGCTCCCCGGTGCCCAGGTCTGTCACCAGCGCCTGGGTAGAGCGGGGTTCGCATTGTGTGGGGAGCAGACTGAGCTTGGGGGAACCCTTGCACTTGCCAGGTCCCTCATCTCGGCAGCCTAGGCCTTGCCTCTCATAGCTGTTGCTCAGCCCCTGTCCTCAAGGCTGAATTTTGTCGTTCAGTGCTGAGGTTCTGCTCAGCCCCCGCCCCTCGCAGGTGCCGCCTGGGCCCTGCGCTCTCATTCCCGCCTACAGTGGGGATCGGTCGGCCTCTAGGCACCCAGGTCCGCCCCATCGCGGCGCCGCACCAACCTGCGCCCGGCCTGTGGCCTGAAGCACGCGCACCATGGCAGCCGCCAGCTCCTCCTTGGCCTGGGCGGGCAGCACTGGCTCAAGGGCCCCGCAGAGGCGAGCGTAGTGGAAGGTGAGGAACTCCGCCAGCTCCTTGTAGCGTTCGGACGGCAGCACCCGCAGGCGCCGCGCCCGGATCCGCGCCCGCAGCGCCGCGCCCGCTGGCGCCCCGAGCAGCGGGAACCAGCGCTCCAAACCTGCGGCGGGCGAGCGAGGGACGCCCACCTCTTCTAGGGCCAGCGCCACGCGGCCAAGTGCCGCTGCCCCCGGGGCCGCTCCGCGCAGCCTCAGCGACAGGCGACGCGCCCGTGGCAGCGCCTCGAAGTGGAAGCGCTCGGCCCAGAAGAGCTGGCCAGGCCCAGTCCGCGGAGCAGTGCGCGCCAGCAGCGCGCCGTCCAGCCACAGCTCGGTGCGCACGCCCGGCGGTCCTGCAGCCGTCCGGGGCATCCCCTTTGCCTCGTGCACCCACACGCTCAGCCACGTCTCTTCCCGCTCCACGTTGTCCTGTGGACCGGAGGGGCAGAGGGGAAGGCGTCTGTGCTCCACCTTTCGCACCAGAGACAAGAAGTGGAGCCCAAGCCCACAGGGTGATCACTGGGCTCCTAGGGGAAGAGAGTGGGCCCACGGGGATCCCAAGGTGGCTATGAGGAAGGCCTCTAGCTTTTCTGGGGCGTGATCGGGCTCCCGGGTATGGAAGAGTAGCTGCGGTGTGCTAGTGGGGGGCGGCTTTGGGTGCAAATAGTACCCGGATTAAGTAGAAGGGACTGGGTCTTTGTGCAAGAGGCAGGAGATAGATGGAGGCCGGGAGGGTCTCGGGGGGTTGCAAAGGCGTGCGCGGGCAGGTGTGTCTAAGGGGCAGGGTTATGGCGAGGGTGCGGTTTGGGTTGGGTGGGAGAGGCGGGGTCCAGGCTGTGGGCGGCGCCTCCACGTCCTGCTTTTCGCGGTACTGACCTGGCTGGGCTGGAAGTGGCGACGGAGGTCTTCTATCCAGCGGTCCCTCTCAGAGGCTGAGCGACAAGAGAAGCAGCGGCTCCCACCCGCCCACGTTACCTGTCGGGGAGAGGGAGCCAAGGTGCGGCTGAGGCCGAGGGCGGAGTCAGAGGGCCGAGGTCAGGTGGACAGCTGCCTGCAACTACCTGGAAGCAGTGCGGCTCCTCCAGGAGGCTGGGGTGCAGTGGCCAGATGCGCACGTCCCGCTCAGCGCCGAGGTCCAGCTCGGAAAGTGTGGCCAGCGATTCCCGAGAGCCCAGAACACTGGGAGGCCTAGTGAGGGGGCGGGTGAACAAGCAGTCATTCCCCACCCTACAGCCCGAAGGGTGGGGGTGGCCAGGATGAACTTGAACCGAAATTTGACCAAAACCCATCATATTTAGGATCCACCCAACTCCTCATGTTGGCCTGCATGACGTTGCCATAGTACAGCCCTTGTCACATATTGATCTCGTTTCCCTCCACTTAATACCTCAGTACCCAAATTGCAGTCATACCACCCTTATTTTTATTTCTTCATCTCACCACTTGGCCTTTGCACTTTCTGTTCCTTCTGCCTGGAAAGCTTTTCCTGCCCCTCTTGACCTAGTTAGCTTCCATCCATCCTTCAGATCTCAACTCGAGAGGCCCTTCCCTGACACTTCCAGGCCAGGGTGTTGACTTAAATTCCTTTTTAGAGTTGGTGTGCCAGACTCTGTCCCTTGACCCCTGTCAACAGAGGGCTGGCTCTGTGCTTGTGTCTTTCAGTGGCCCATGCATTACCCAATGTGGGTCGGATTCAAAGGGGGTACAGGGAGTATTTGGTGAAAATCAGAATTATAGGCAAGAGGAAGGGGAGGGGAAAATGTTGCCTCCCAGCCCCTTAGAGCCCCTCACCCGTCTCGGGAGGCACTGGCTCCCATCTCCGACCTGGCCTTTTTCTTCTCTTTCAGCCGCTTGATCAACCCCTGTGGGGAGGAGGATGTCAGCTGGGTGGAACCCAGTGCTCCCTTCTTGGCTCCTTTCCTACTAGGGTGTCCTGGACGATCTGTTGGTCTTGTGGGACCACAAGCTCAGGCTGTATTAGCAAGAATAATACAGGCAGCCAGTTTCTAAAGCACCATCTGTATGCTTTCCTGCATTCTCTATTGACTTCTCAGAAACAGCCCCAAGAGGGAGTTTCTCTCATTAGCTCCACTTGACAGAAAGGGACACTGAGGCCCAGAGAGGGTCAGTGACCTGCCCAAGATCACTCAGTAGGAGTCTTCTTTCTCCTCTGCGGGTCTGGGCATCTTTATTGTCCCCTCCCCCCACCTCTGGATGCCTCACCCGAACATTGTGGACCTGGTTGGGGCCAGCAGCCTCTGGCTCGGTCTTTCCAGGGATCCGATCTGTGGGTGGTGAGGGGTGGAAGGTTTGGAGGTGGGATCATCTTGGATTCTACCCCACCCTGACAGGCTCCCAAATGCCCAAGCCCTTCCCACCTCTCAAGCCTACCTGGATCCCTGACGCTCCCCATGGCCACCTGGATGCTGCCGTCTGAGCTAGCGCTCCCCACCCGGGGCCGGCGGGGACCCTGTTCCCCACAGGAGTGGGTAATCAGAAAGGGGAGACAGGCAGGCAAGGGAAGAGGCACACACCTTTCCCTTACTGCCCCCCAGACCTCCTGCAGTTCTGTCTCTCTCCTACCTCCTCTCCTTCCCTCCCCTTGTCTGGGTGCCCCCTCTCACCTCCTCCTCACCCCCAAGCAGCACCAGCCTCCCATCCAGCAGGGTGAAGGCCCCGATGTTCCAGACAGGCACATCGGGTGTGGGGGCCTCAGGGATGTGTGGGGCAGGCACCTCCAGCTCTGGCTCTGGCTCTGGGTAGAGAAGAGGGTGCTGGGGACCTGGGAGTCCTTTCTTCTCCCTCGGACCACCCTCTTCATTCGCCAAGGCTCACCAGCATTTCCTTCCTAAGTGCCTCCTGTCCCCCCACTACTCAGCAAGCCATGTCAAATTGTCATTGAACAAGCCGCCATGCCTCTCTGGGCCTTATCCGTACTGGCCACGGGTAGTGGAGACATAGCCCACAGACTAAGTGACCTATATTATGTTTACTGTCCCTATATATCCTCTCTTACTTAATCCTCCAAAAGCCATTCAAAGGGCTATTATAACCTCCATTTTATCGGGGAGAAAACCAAAACCCAGAGAGGTTGAGCGACTTGCCCAGGGTCACACAGCCTGTGAATAACTAAGCCAGGCTTGAGACATAAGCATTCTTATCTCCTAACCAAGACAGTGGGCAGGTCCAAGAGGTTGAGAAACAGGTCAGCAGCCTTGGTTCCTTACATAAATCACTAGCCTAAGGTGGAAAGTATTCAAAGTTTGAGAAAGGAACAGAAAACGATCAGGGTAGAGGGAAGTGGCAGTGCTGTGGGTCAGGGAGGACCTTCCTGAGAGAGTAAGACTGTGCTGAGTCTTGGATCACTGCTTGGATTTTGATAGAGGTGGAGGAAAAGGTGGTGGGGACGACTTGAGCAAAGGCTGGGAAGGAAGTCGAAGGGCAAGAAGGGTTTGGAGGCTCAGAGGCTGGACAGCGAAGGTCCAGGACTTTGGTGCAGGACTGTGTGTGCCAGTTAGTGGAGCTGGGGTTTTATTCGGCGGGTAGCAGGGAGCCACGGGTTTGAGTAGGGAGGAGCATGTCTACTTGTTACTTTCTCTGTGGAGAGTCTGTGGAATGGGCAATAGCAGATACCCCTGAGGGGACTGAAGTCATGTCTCTGCAAAATGGGGACATGAATGGGAGAACTAAATGTTCTTCCAGGAATAAAAAGGCTGAATCAGCCTCCTCAGATTACCTTTCTGTCCTATTGTTTTACTACCAGGGGAATAAATGCAAACTCTTACTTGTTAACAGGTCACTTCAGACATGTTGGGCTAGTGCTATATTCATGAGCTCTAATCCTTATGACAGACATCCTTTACTCTTCTAGATTCCTCTGTGGGACACTTGGCCCCATGTCATTTTCTTCTTTACTTGTTTACTGTCTGTCACACGCACCACACTGTGAGCGCCACAGGACAGGCAATTTCATCTCTTGTTTTTTGTTGTGCCTAAATTGGGGCCTGGCACATAGTAAATGCTCAACAGACCTTTGCTTGAATAAATGAATGAATATGAGGGGATAAAATAATATAAAGCAGGGATCATGATCCCCGTTTAACCAATGGGGAAGCTGAGGTTCAAAGGGGTAAAGACACTAAAGTTACGGAGACTGGCAGGCAAGAGAGGAGGAGGCAGCTGAGACAGGTGTCCAGGCGGGAGAGAATGGGCCCAGGCCATTGGATATAAGAAGAGACCCATTGGGGCCAGGAGCCATTTGGCATCTGAACAATGCTGCCATCCCTCTATTCCCTGGCCCTTCCCCAGGCTGGACCCTGGACCCCAGCCCACAGGTCCCTGACCACTCCCCCTACCATGAGGCCTTGGGTGAGGGGGAAAGAGGGAAGAGGGCATCTGGGCCCCAGCCACTTCCTGTTGGGCTTTTGTGCTCCCCACAACTTCCTGTGTCTGTAGGGCTGATTCTCTGGAGGCAGTCAAAACCCAAGCATCCGGCCTCCCAGCCTGGGCGGGGGAGTTCTGTACCTGTGGCCTCTGGCTCCGGCTCTGGCTCCAGTGGTGGGCTCTTATGCTTCCCCCAGAGGGTCTTGGATAGCCGGAGGCGGCTCGTGCGTGATTCCTTGGGGGGCGCAGAGAGGACACGGCGAAACAGCGAGCGAGGGGCTGGCTGGCTGCTGACCATGGGCTCCTGGTGGCTCAGTGTCCTCCCCCAGCCCGCAAGGCGTCCCCAGCGGAACCCTCCAGCCCCCTTCTCTCCACCACCCCCTGTGTGCCAGTGGTAGGAGGTCAGTGGGGAGGGGACTGCTGGCTGGGCTTGGGAGACCCGGCTTGGTGATGGTGAGTCCATCGTGGGGGTTTTCCTGTGGAATGAGAAGGTAATAGTTCTGTTCAGTGTCTGCCCAAGTGCTGTCCTCATCTTGGCCCCCTCCCCACTCTCAGCTCTGCCCCCAGGCAACCCCCCTGGGGGTGTCACACAGGCTCTCTCTCTTACCTTGATTTCCTGACCAGCCCCAGAATCAGAAGCCGTCTGCACCCTGCCTGGCTTCCTCCCACTGAATGCAACTCCACGTGACACTGTCTGTCCTACCCCACCCCACAGTCAAGTTGGGAGGGCACAGTGGGGGCAGGATGCTGGAGGAGAGGAGGCAGCAGAGCAGGGCTCAGACTCTCTTGCTGAGCTGGAGGCAGCACATACCCCTCTCTGAGCCCCAGTTGTCTTCTCTGCAAAATAGCACATGCTGACCAAATGCTGGTGAGAATACAGAGCACCTGGAATTCTTGTCCACCACTGGTCAGAGTGTAGACCTATGCACCCAAGTTAAAGAGCGATTTGGGATGATGTGCTGACATTGACTATGTGTACCCTCCGACCCAGCAGTGGAACAATAGACATGCCCACTAGTGCTATGTGTAATAGCCCCAAACTGGGACAGCCCACATGTCCATCTACCGTCGAATGGATATGTTGTGGTCCCCTCCCACAGCAGAATACCATGCAGCAGTGCAGTGAGAATGAACAAATTGCTGAATGAACTCAGATGGATCACAAACAATGCTGAGCAAAAAGCCACAAACAATGAAGAGTAAAAACTGTGTGGCTCCATGTATATAAAGTTCCAAATCAGGCAAAACTATGTGCAACAAGTCAGGATACCGGTTTCCTTTGGAGGGGTTGGTGACTGGGGACATAGGGGCATGGTGCTGCATGAGGGAAGCCTCTAGGGGCTGCTCATGCTTTTTTTTGTTGTGGTTTTAAGTTGGGGTGAAATTCACATGACACAGATTTAACATGTTCTATTTCTTGGGCGGGGTGCTGGTTACATGGGTGTGTTCTGTCGTGAAAATTCAAGGAGCTGTGTATTTTGGTGCACTTTCCTGTATCTCTGTTATACCTCAGTTAAGTGTTTACTTGAAAAAGAGGTAGGCAAATGCTATTCTGAGGAATATGTGAGTCAGCATGAGAGTCAGTAGAATCCTGGCCCAGGAGCAGGTTTGAGTGCCAGCTGGTTCTTCTCTCGCTGTGCGATTTCAGGCAATTCACTTCCTCTCTCCGAGCCTCGGTTTCCTTATTTGTACAATATGATGAAAACATCAGTTTCAGAAGGTTCATTACAGGAGCTTTTGTTTATTCAACAAGTGTTTCCCGAGGGCCTACTCCGTGTTAGGTGCTGGAGAAGCCATGGGGAGCTAAACAAGCTTGGTTCCTGCATTTCTGAAGCTCAGAGTCCAGGGAGGGAAACAGATGCTGAATATAAAGCAGGACATTTCTAGCAGGCAAGGACTTGGAAGAAAATAGACAGACCGGAGCAGAGGCTGAGCAGTAGGGATGCTCTTTGAGCTGGAAAAACCAGGAATGCCAGGTAGAAGGAATAGTTTGTTCAAAGGCAAGGATGACCAGAATGCACAGGGTGGGGTGGGTAGGACCATGGTATGGATATGTGGCCTGTGCGTGCACCCAGGATCCCATGCTCAGAAGGGCTCCATGCTGCACTTGATTTAATACTCTTGAAGTTCTTGATTGTTGAACAGGGGCCCTGCACTTTCATTTTGCATTGGGCCTTGCAATTCTATAACCCGTCCTGAGAAGGATCAGACCAAAGACCCCTCTCCTGGAGCTAGATGTGTTCATGCCGGTGTACATACCTTAGCTCTGCCCACCCCATTCACACCACACTCAGTCCACTGACTGCACACACATGGAGAGTCTCCCCATGTTCCACCAAATCCCGAGCCTTTACCACTTCACTGCCTAGGGGCCCCACTTCCAACTCCCTGCATGTTTTGCTGGGGGACTTTCTCTGACAGATGGAGTTCACCATGCAAACAAGCAGCTCAAAAGTCCCAGAGAATTAACACTTCCCTGACAGCAGCCCTCAACTGGTGACCATCAGAGTTGGAGTATCAACACCCCAGCTCTCTCACCCCTTGGGTGGGATGACTCTGAGGTGTGTGTCCTATGCTTTTCTCCAGAGGTCTCCAGAGAAATTGAGTGCCATGTGTCCCAGAGCCAACCTGCTTGATAAAGCACCCTTTCCTGACTCCCTCCCATCCCTGCCTTTCTTCCTGATTCTCCAGCTGATATGTCCTGGGATCACCTCCCAAACAAAGTACTCGCACTGGAAGGCTTGTCTCAAGGGCTGCTTCTGGGCAAACCAAACAAGACAATGCGTGCAAAAAGAAATGATATGTAGATACAGGCTTTCTTTCGATGATCCCTTTACTGGAGGTCTGTGACTGGCAGGATCACTGGGGATGGCTTCCTCTTGGATCTCCTGGAGGCCCTCCTGGCAGTCCTTGGCTTCACACTCTAGAAAAAGCAAGGGAGTGTGATGCTTGGCAGTTGGTGGAGCTGGGTCTGCCCTCTTCATGGAGGGAATTCGGATAGGGGAGGGGACAGGGACCCAGAGTGAGCAAGTGGGTATAATGCCAACTGCAGGCCAGCTTAAGGAAATAAAGTGCAGTGTGCAGGTAGCAGGGCACTGTGCAGGTGTGAGTATAGAGGCGTTCTATAATTGAGGTCAGGGGTTGGGGTGGGATTATTGGGCCAAGGTTGTGCTGGCTGGGCCTGTACTGCTCCAGCGTAAGAGTTGTCCTCAGGGGTCAGGGAGGTTGGAGCCGAGCAAGCAACCTCAGGGCTGACGTTATCTGGAAGGAGGATTGCAACACAGGGTTAGGGGCTGGACAAAGGTTATGCAGGCAGAGTCATGGGCTGTGGAGGATCATAGGCTTGGTTAGTGTTGTGTAGATTGAGGGCCTCTGGGTAGGAGACAGGGGTGAGGCCAAGGTTCGTGGACTAAGATGAAGAAAGGCAGAAGAGTTAACTTGGCTATAGGTTACACAGGCCAGGCTGAAGTTGTGAGGGCAGGGGCAGGGTCCATACCTTGGCTGGGAGGGAGGAGGTGTTGGGGGTTGGGTAAGGACAAGCTGGCTGGGTCAGGGGCTGGGCTGAGGTTGTGTAGGGGTCGGGGGTCCTGGGGGTAGGGGATGTTGCAAGCAGAAAGGCTTAAGTTTGGGCCTCGGTTGCCTGAATAGACGGGGTGCAAGGGAGACTAGGGGCCTGGCTGAGGCTGTGTGGGCATAGGGGTTACAGAAGGGGGTCAGAGGCCTGCCCACGTTGGTCAGACAGGCAGGGGTCAGGGCCCGCGTCCAGCTTGTGTAGCAGGCAGGCGGAGGTAGTAAGGATGACAGGACTCACCGTGGCGAAGCGCGGCCAGGTGCGCAGCAGGTTGAAGAGCGCGTCACCAGGGCAGTCAGTGTGCACGAGCTGGCGGTGGCCCAGCAGTGCATAGTCTGGCTTCAGGAGGCCTGCGCGCACCGCGCAGCGCGGGAGCAGGTCGTGCAAGGTGCGCAACGCCGCCTCGGTGGGCAGCCCCGCCGTGTAGTTGCCCACGATGGCCACGCCGAAGCCGCGGGAGTTGTGGCCGCGTGTGTGCGCGCCCACCCAGTGCCAGCCCCGGCCCTCGTACACGTAGCCGTCTGAACCCACCACGAAACTGCAGAGGAGAGGGGAAAGCAGGCAGCACGCGGCGCGAGGGAGGTTCTGCCCTTCGCCTGCCCCCTGCCCTAGCTGGGCACCTGCGTCAGCGGCCACGCGTATCCCAAGTCCGGCCTGCGGCTCGCTGGCTCGGCCTGGTGCACCTTCGGCCCACTCCCTCCCTCACCAAGGGCCACCCCAGAAAACCTTCCTTTTCTCTGGACCTGCCCCTCAGCATTGGCCACGCCCCTTTCTACCTAGCCCCCTCCGCATTGTCCCAAGGACAGCTCCTGCCCAATTCAGAGCCTTTTTCTGTCTAAGGTCAGATCCCGTCACTAACCCCGTCCCGGATCCAGCCCCTATCACAGGTCCAATTCCTCTCTCAGGCCCCGCCTCCACCACCTTCTTTCCTAATTCCAACTCGACACAAAAGTCCCATCGTGGAGCCATTTCGAGTCCTTGTGGAGGCCCAGACCGTAGTTTAGGCCACGCCCACTCTGCATCTTGGCTCCACCCACCTCCAATCCCTAGCTCTTGCCAATTTTGCTCCGGCCCAAACCACGCCTCTCCCATCAGGCTCCGCCCACCCGGCTCCGCCTCGCAACGTCAGCCCCGCTCCCGCCCCTCCGAGCCCCCACTACCTGTAGCCTATGTCTTCCCAGCCGCGCGTGTCCTGGTGGAAGCGCTGCATAGAGCGCATATCCGCGGCACAGCGCGCGAAGTCGGTGCAGGGTGGCGCAGGCACGTACGTGTGATGCACATATAAGAACCCGAGAGGCAGCTGCAGAGGCGTCGGGAGGCCCCGGTAAGGTGCGGCGCCCCAGCGGCAACGAGGGTGGATGGCCGGGCACCCTGCGGGGAAGAAGGTCCAGGGTTGAGATCGGCCAATTCACCCTTCTGCCACTTGCACCCACCATTAGGGGGCATATGTGGACCATCCCTCCAGCCTCCTCCCAGATTTGGGGACAGCTCAATCTCACACCACACTGGCCCCCATTAAGATCTAACTTCACTAAATCTAAGCCTCCTGTTGGAATATCCTGTGACTCCCATCGCCTTCAGGATAAACCCCAAGAAGTTTAGCTCAGACTTCAAGGCCATTTACAACCCAGGACCCAACACTCCAGCTGGCCCTGCTCTGAGCCTAGGGAGGGGCAGCCAGGCTGAGTAAAGAGGAATCTCAGCCCACATTTATTGAACTTCTATAGTCAGCTACTTGTTTTACACGCTTCATCTTAAACCTTGCAACAGATGGAAGAGGCGGCAATGATTTACCCAACTTCACTGAAAACGAGGTTCAGAGAAGCGAAGCAAGTTGCCTAATGGAAGTTGCACAGGAGCAGCTGGCTGGACTTCCATTAGAACTGCTGTGTCTCTGCATGTCCTGCGTCCACCTCCTGCAATGCCTTCTTCCTTTTTTTCTTTTTCCTTTTTGGTTGGTTGAATTCTCCATTCATCCCTCAAGACCCAAATCTAAGCTTCCCTCTCCTGTGCAGCTGCGCTGATCCCCCAGCCTGGCCCCCCCTGGCCCCATGTGGCTGAGAGCGCATCAATCAGAGGGTTGGTCACAGTGGGTAGGGTCCTTCTCACCCAAGAAGGCTTCAATAAACTCCTTGGCAGCATGGGTGGCCACCTTCACCAGCTGATCTTGGCTCATGCCCTGTAGCTGAGGGTGTGCTGGCTCCAGCGTCTGTAGCAGGATAAGGGCCCCCCACACCTGCTGGGTCAGGGTGGGAGCCGAAGTCAGAACAGCTCCGTTTTGCCGTCGGAAGTTACTTCGAAGCCCTGGGTCTCCAGCCACCCCAGCTCCATAGTACTGGCTCAGCAGGTGGCTGAGGGGTGGCAGGGGCCCAGGGGCCCGGCTCAGGTAATCTCCAAGGAGGGCCCCATCCAGGGCACCATTGAGGAAGGCTGCAGTGAGTGGTGAGGCCTTGGGATCCAGGAGTGTGAAGGTCTGGGGAGCAGAGAGCTGGTCCCAGCAGCCCTCAGTTCCCAGGCCTGGGTGGCTCCGTGTCTGGGGGCCCTGGAGGAAGGTGAGGCCCAGGTCCCTGGCAAGGCTGACCGCCAGGAGGCTGTCCACAGTGGTTGGGGATGTGTCTTTGGCATCTGGCAAGGAGGTTTGGACATCTGCAGAGTCAGGTCTAACATCTGGAAAAGTGGCTCCTGCCTCTAGATCTGTGGTTCTAACATTCGGAGACATGGCTTCAACATTTGCAGAGGTGACCTCTGGAGAGGCATCACTGAGGTCTGGGGGTGTGACTTTTACCTCAGGGACCACGGTTCCAACGTTTGGAGGGGTGACTGAGCTGTCCAAGGGCAGGTTCACAACCCTGTGCCCCTGTAGCCCTGCCTCCAACCCCACTAGGAGAGGCTTGACAGCCACAGTTGAGCCATCAGGGGTCAGCACCACCCCGTATTCCTGCCCACCCTGCACACGATGTTGGACCACCATCTCTGCCAGGCCTTGGAGCTCTGGGGTCAGTTGTGGGGGATTCAGCTCTGTGACCTTGAGATGCCCCCTCTCCAGCAGGAAGTGATGGAGGGGATCATGGGGGCCAGAATCCTGGGCTGACAGCAGCCATGCAGAAGCAGTGTGGCTGGCATTGGTGACTGGTGCCTTCTGCTCGAGCTCAGCCAGGGCATGGATGACAGAGTCCATGAGCAGGGGCAGGGTTGCTGTTGGGAAGAGGGATGGCATTAGCTCAGTGGCCCAGTTCCCCCATTCCTGAGCATCCCCTGCTGCTTCCCCATCTTCTCAATGCCTTCCAGTTGTTCATTAGACAACCCTGTGACTCCCAACACTATCCTTGTGTAGATGAAAAAATGAGGTACAGACAATAGGCTAAGGAATTAGACTGCCAGTGAGCACTGGGGAGCCATGGCAGATTCACGAGCAGGGGAAAGACATAGCCAAGTTGGCAGTCTAATATTGCTCCTTTGGCTGTGAAGAAAGGATTTTTGGGGGGCTAGAGTAGAGAAGGAGAGACGGTGTGCAGGTAAGCAATGAAGGTGGCCAAAGCCAGGGCTGTGGCGCTGGAATGGACAGAAGTGGACAGAGTCCCCAGGTATTTTGAGGGAAAGATGGACAGTTTTTCATAATGAATAGGAATTTGGGGAATTTTAGAGGGAAAACAATTCTAAGGATGCTCAAGGGAGGAGAGGGTGGACCTGTGCCTTATGAGGACAATGTTAGTGGCTGAACCTGGAACTCAGAGGTGGGGTGGGTTGTTGAATAAAACTAACATTTATTAAACATTTACTATGTGCCATGCACCACTGTAGGTGACTTACATAACTTAACCCATTTAATCTTCACAATGACCCTGTGCACACAGAGAGGTTAAAACAGCAGCCAAAGGTCACACAGCCAGAAAGTAGCAGAGGCAGTGTTTGAACTCAGGAAGTCTTAATCCTTACACTCCATTGTCTAGAATACAGGTTCTTCTCCAGACATTCCACACCATAATTCTTGTATAACTTCGTTCTCTTTACCTAAAACACCCTTTCCTGCTTCTCCACCAAGTAAAATTCTCCTCCTTCCTGTCCTAGACTTATGCCCCTCCTCCAGGAAGCCTTCCTGATTTCCGCTCTTCTGGCCCCATGTCCTTCCCCCAACTCCTGCCCTGACTCTATGGGGCTGGGAGCATCTGGGTCTCCAGACTGGAGGTTCCTTGAGACTGGAACCTCTGGGGTCTCCAGCCTCATCCTGTACAGGGCTAGACAAAAAGGGGTCAGCAGTACATTTTTGTAGAACTGGGCATCTTGCAAGTCCCCAGACCTTTGACTTCTGACCCACCTGTTCCTGGTTCCAGCCACAGCAGCAATCCGAGCAGGATCCAGAGGACACTGTGGGCCCCCATCATGGGATTCCAGCTTCTGGGGGACATATCCAGTGACCTTAGTGGAGATCTCGTCAGAGCTGGAAAGAGGCAGGCATGGAGAACTACGCAGTGTTTTGGGTTACGGTCAAAGTCCAGCGGTGAATGACCAGGCTGCCCTTTGCTGAGCTGTGGGCGGGAAAGAGCAGGGTTGTAGGGACAGAGTACCCTGGGTCTAGGTCATCTGGGACTCTGGGGCTCCCCCATCCTATCTGTCCCTCTCAGGATGAGGTCAAGGGTCAGTAAGCCTGGCTCATCCCAGGAGGTGCCTGGAGGCCAGGTAGCTCACACTCCAAGAAACTGCTCATTCTCAATAGTGATAGACTGCGGCCCCTCCAGCAAGCCCTACCCTCTTCCTATAGTGATCGCCCTGCAGCTGCTGCGGCCACCAGGGGGGACTCTTGGGTGCTGCACTGGGGGAGGGGTGAGAGGCAAGGCTGAGGCTGGCACTGTCTCTGGCCATCTTTTTGGTCAGTACTTCAGGCTCAGGCAGAGGACAGCTGCAGGGCCTGGGCATTGTTTTTGCCTGCTCTGAGCCTACCAGGATCAGGAGATGTTGCCCTCATCATCTGGGGTTCGGATCCCAATCTACTGGAGACTGCTGAAGGAAAGGATTGGGTGGGGGTATTCGGGATCATGGCTTTGTCTCAGGAGCTGTCTTCTGGGCTCACCTGTGTTGGCGGGGAGGGGCCCTTCCTCTTCCCTGGCGCCTGTGCTGAGTCCTGCAGAAGTGAGCCCGCCTCCCCTTTATTCCACCTGCAGGTAGGATGGGCTAAGAAGTGTGGTTGGGGCTGCAGTGTAAATTGCTTCCCTGTGAGCCACCCACCACGAAACCAGTCCGGGGAGTTTCCAGGAGACCCACCAGGCTGGGGATTAAGCTCAGGGCAGGCCCTGGGCGGGCCTGGAAATGCCCAGGCTGAGCTAGGTCTGGGATTCCCTGGGGAGCCTGCTCAGATGTCAAGGGTTCTCTTTCTGGGGATTCAGCATTGCCCAGCACACAGTGGGGGCTCAGGGAGTAAGGTGCTAGAGGAGGGAATGCATGGGGGCAATTCCCCAGGAAATCCTCTCCTCTGTGTTGTTTCCGAGGATTTGGGGACGGGGCGCTGCCTAGTAGAACCACATGGAGGATGTGGGGTATGTGTCTGTCTGGGGCAAGGAGTAAGGAGAGCAGAATGAAGCATTTGCCTTGGGTGAAAAGCTTAAGGAAGAGCTAAAAATCTCAGTCATCCAGATGAGGAAAATTTCAGTGTAATGGTTTAAAAGACCAAAGTGAATGCAGAAAAGCCCACTGTAACAAAATATCATTTTAGATCAGGATAGGATCAGAAATGGTGCTATGCTGAGACATTCTGGAGCCAGAGGTGAAAGGAAAAACCAGGAATTCTGATTCTTCTCTGTGCTTGCTTGCCTTGTGCTAGTCCCAGCCCCGAGTCTTCCAGCGGGGAGTCCCTGGGATGCTGAGGGGTGGTGGTCACATGAGATTTCCACGTAGTGTCCACCTAGTCTGGGAGGGATCTTGACTCAGCATTAGGGACCCTGGGTTTGTCGCATGATTCTGCCACTGATCCCAGATGTGGGAGACCCTTGAGGTTTTATTTACCCATCCATTTATGGCCAGTTTACCCAGCAGGAAGGTGAGCTCGGAGAGGTTAAATAACTTGTCCGAAGTCACATAGCAAGAACCAGGAGAGGGCTCCAAGTCCCGTGCATGTCTCCACTCTTCTGTAGCTGGGTCAAGGTCAGAGTAATTATGACCACGTGTCTGCAGACTGGCTGCAGAACAGCCTCCCATTCAGGGATACATGGGCCCACCAGGCAGGCAGCCTCGATTCTCTTTTAAAGCTTGGAGTTGGCGTCAGAGGCTTGGGTTGAGTGCGAGCCAGGGGCATGTCATGGTTGGCCAGTGTGTCCCTTGGGGTTTGTCTGGGATTGTGACCTTCTGAGGTAGGACCCTTCCTCCAGGAAGGCTTCCTTATTACCCCTGCCTGCCCCATTTCCCCACCCTGGCTCCCTAGCCCGAGATTCCTCCCTGTGACCCAGATTGGTCCATTTTAGGGCTGGCAGTTTTTCTGTCTGGTTGTCTCCCCCACACTAGGAGATGTTGAATCCTTTCGGGATGCTCAGCATAGTCCAGGAACCAGGTGGGTGGCAGGGAGGGATTGCTGAGAGCACAAAAGGCCTGATTGAGGATGTGGGGTCAGCTTGGGGTCGGGCTCTGAGACATACACATAGGCACCTGGGCTGGGTGCCTGGGAGGCAGCAGAAAGGCTGGGGTTCCCGTGGTGACTCACACCCCCACCTCTCGCCTCTGGTCTCTGCTTTCCTCTCGCCTCATGATGCCTACCTGCCATGGCAGGTCAATGGCCCTCCAGGCTGCAGACAGATCAGGGGTCTCAGGAGAGTTGTCCCTGTCCAGGGCTTGGGGGCAGCTCTTAAGGAGGGAACACTGGCACAGACAGGCAGAGCCCTGGGCCCTGCATCTGAATTGAGGCTGGGATCAGGGCCATAGGCCAGAGGGAAAGGAACCTGGGGCTAAGCTGAGCTTGAGGCCAAGGTCAAAGAATAATATTTATTTGGGTAGGAGAATGATAATATAATGAAGATCCTTACAATCATAATAACTGCTGTATGTGGGGCTTTGAGCTAAGATTTTATATGCCTGCATTTCTCTTTTATCCAGTTCTGGGTTTTGTTAAGAGATGGTGTAGAGCAGAAGATGGCAAACTACAGCCTATGGGCCAGCTGTCTGATCAACATTTTTTTTCCTTCTGATATCATTAATGTACAATTACTTGGACAACATTATGGTTACTAGACTCCCACTATGATCAAGTCCCCACCACATACCCCATTACAGTCACTGTCCATCAGTGTAGTAAGATGCCATAGAATCATTCCTCATCTTCTCTGTGCTGTACTGTCCTCCCCATGTCCCCCTCCTGCTACATGATGTGAGCTAATCGTAATGCCCCATTTTCCCCCTTATCCCTCCCTTCCCACCCGCCCCCACCAATTCCTTTCCCTTTGATAACTGTCAGTCCATTCTTGGGTTCTGTGAGTCTGCTGCTGTTTTGTTCCTTAAGTTTTTTCTTTGTTCTTAAGCTCCACAAATGAGTTAAATCATTTGATACTTGTCTTTCTCCCCTTGGCTTACTTCACTGAGCATAATACCCTCTAGTTCCATCCATGTTGTTGCAAATGGTAGGATTTATTTTCTTCTTATGGCTGAATAGTATTCCATTGTGCATATGTACCACCTCTTCTTTATCCATTCATCTACTG